GGGCTTTGCTGTTCCTGAGAAGAAGATATTTAAAGATTTTTCCTATATATTTCTATGTAAAACTTTGTTCCTCCATTGTGGCCCCGCCCTACCCCGGGGGGGGGGGGGGGGGGTCATGATTTGAACAAACTTGAATCTTCACTACCTGAGGATGCTTTCATATAAATATGACCAATTAGGGATTTGCTGTTATTGAGAGGAAGACTTTTTAAAGATTTTTCCTATATATTTCTATGTAAAACTTTGATCCTCCATTGTGGCCCCGCCCTACCCCCAGGGGTCATGATTTGGACAAATTTGAATCTACACTACCTGAGGATGCTGCCAAATAAATATGACCAATTAGGGCTTTGCTGTTATTGAGAAGAAGATTTTTAAAGGTTTTTCCTATATATTTCTATGTAAAACTTTGATCCTCCATTGTGGCCCCGCCCTACCCCCGGGGGTCATGATTTGAACAAATTTGAATCTACACTACCTGAGGATGCTTCCAAATAAATATGACTCATCATGGCTTTGCTGTTCTTGAGAAGAAGATTTTTAAAGATTTTTCCTATATATTTCTATGTAAAACTTTGATCCTCCATTGTGGCCCCGCCCTACCCCCAGGGGTCATGATTTGAACAAACTTGAATCTACACTACCTGAGGATGCTTCCATATAAATATGACTCATCATGGCTTTGCTGTTCTTGAGAAGAAGATTTTTAAAGGTTTTTCCTATATATTTCTATGTAAAACTTTGATCCTCCACTGTGGCCCCGCTTTACCCCCGGGGGTCATGATTTGAACAAATTTGAATCTACACTACCTGAGGATGCTTCCACATGAGTTTCATCTTCCCTGGCTTTGTGGTTCTTGAGAAGAAGATTTTAAAAGATGCTACTAATTTTTCACTATTTCTTCATTATCTCCCCTTGAAAGAGGGCGTGGCCCTTCATTTGAACAAACTTGAATCCCCTTCACCCAAGGATACTTTGTGGCAAGTTTGGTTGAAATTGGCCCAGTGGTTCTTGAGAAGAAGTCGAAAATGTGAAAAGTTTACAGACGGACGGACGGACAGACAGACAGACAGACAGACGGACAGACGGACTACAGACAAAATGTGATCAGAAAAGCTCACTTGAGCCTTCGGCTCAGGTGAGCTAAAAACTACATAATTTGAATATTTTTCTTTCCCATTAATATCTTTTGTAGATAAAGTATTTGAAATGAATTTTAATTATGTTATTCAGACTACAAATTTCTAGAGTAACGTCAAATATCTTTGTAAAATTCACTTCCGGTCGCGTGTTTTCCTGTCCTCAAAATGAGAAGTTGTGTGAGCAAGATCTCGGAAACGGTAAGAGATTATGACACCAAACTTTTATGAGCAACAGACCTTAAGATGTAGGCAAAACCATTTGGGTTAAGAGCGTCAGTCGACACTTCCGGTCGTCACAGGAAGTGATCAAAGAAATCGAAAATTTCAACTTTTCTTTTTTTAATTGAAAATTGCACCACTTTATTGCATCTTTTTCGCAGATTCGAAAGATGTTCGTCCCACCGGAAACAAACACGACAACTTCCGGTTAGAAGAGAAAAACTAAATAATTTGAGTTTTTTAATTTCCCATAAATATTCTTTATAGATAAAGTATTTGAAATGAATTTTAAATGTGCTATTCAGAGTGCAAATGTCTAGAGTAACCTTAAATATTTTTTCAAAAATTCACTTCCGGTCGCGTGTTTTCCTGTCCTCAAAATGAGAAGTCTGAGCGAGATCTCAGAAACAGGTAAAAGATTAAAACACCAAAATTTTAAGAGTATTGGACGTTGAGGGGTAGGTGAAACCATTTGGGTTAAACGCGTCAGTCGTCACTTCCGCTTCTCACAGGAAGTGTTCAAATAAATCAAAAAAATTTAACTTTTCTTTTTTAAATTAAAACTTACATGACTTTATTGCATCTCTTTTGCTGTTTTGAAATATGTTAGATTCCACCGGAAACAAAAACGTCAACTTCCGGTTTTAGGAGATAAACTACGTTATTCTTATATTTAACTTTCTCATAAATATCGCTTATCGATAAAGTACCTGAAATGATTTTATGCATGTTGTAGATACTGCAAATGTCTAGAGAAAAGTCTGAGATTTTTATAAAATTCACTTCCGGTTGTGTGTTTACCTGTTCTCAAAATTAGAATTTGCTCCCACAATATTGTTCGGCAACAGTAAACGACTGAGGACTAAAACTTCAGGACTGATATTCAGTCATCAGTTTATTTGAATTGTGAGAAAATCTTGCATCGTTGTTACTTCCGGTCGTGAAAGGAAGTGATGTATAAAAGTGAATGGTTAATGGTTAGCACTTTGGGTTTTCACGCTGACGATTAGGGTTAAACCTCCAGAGTGTCTGAATTTCTTTTATCACTTTTTCAGCTTGAATTTTCGTTTTTATTTTCAGAATCGGACGGAAGACCTCTCATTGCTCGCAATGAGTTTCTAGTTCAATTTCTTGTAATTTAATTCATTAATGTTTCTTCTTTACTCTCAGGAGTCTTCTTTAATTTTTTCTAGATGCATTTTGGAGAAAATGAGTTTTATTTATTTTTTATAACTTAAATTAATTTCTTAAAAAAATATGTATACCGATAGAATTCAGTTTTTGTGGTTATTTTGTGAGCTGAATAATATATGATAGGAAAAATCGAGATTTGTTGTGCTACGTGTGAAAACTTCATGGGAAAAATATCTTGAATCTTATGAAATTATTTTTTTTTAAAATCAGTATAAATTATATTACTATTCCTGGCCAGTTTTTAAAGGCTGATATGCTTGTTACAAGTAATGCTCCATAATATGAGAACATAAGCTGGGGGTGTGTGGAGGACCCTTAAATAGATCAGGTTGGGGTAAAAATTAAATTATTTTTAATTCCCTATCTATCATGTCGTCATTTGGAAAATTTCAAGGAATTTGCTTAATTTTTGCAGTTTTCTGAGACTTTAAAATTGGAAATTGGTAAATGCAGCACACAAAAGATGGCGACATTTGATGACGCTACGGTGCACTGGAGAGCAATTCAGTTATATGTTGATTGAGTAATGACGTCCTAAGGGGCTTTGAATGATTGCAGAATAAAAAAAAAAAAAATAAAAAAAATATCCCTAATACGTTAGAATACAAGTAGTATGGGCAATTTTTTTCTAAACAGGAGCTTCTTGATCAAGTCCCCCAATAGAACAAAACAAACAGAAAATCAGCTATTGGCAATGATGAAACACGCTATTATTTCAGACCGTCAAAGAAAGACTGGATAAATAAGCAGGGAAAGTGAGAGTACCTTCAATTACTTACTTTCACACTTTTTCATAAGGCCCCAAGTGTGTAAGATTGGTCCCTTGACCGTTTCTGGAGCAAGAAAGGGGAACTCAAGTGTGTGCGTCAGTAAAATTGCTGGTCCAGAAATTAAAGTGGGACTTTTCCAAAAATTTTTTTAAAAGATAAAATGTGAAGCTGCTTCAGAGATTTTGATGTTATCATCAGTGCACTGTAAGCCAATACCACACATTATATAAAACCCCATATTTTGTTTATTTGAGCATATAACTCCTCAAAAATTTGTTATTTTATTGATGAACCAGAAGTCTCTGATGAGACTGTAGCTCTACTGGTCTGTACATATAATAAAAGAAAAGTAGCACTTGGATTTGAAACTTTGCAACATGCAGCAATAAATAGAATTATGTATCTTAATGTAGTCTACTTCTGTGCCAAGTTATATTGAAATCAAATGAAAACTGTAGGAGGAGTAGCGTTTTGAAAGTATTTTACAGAAATTTCTATTTTTAGTAACCATGACAACACCATTCACCGAAATAAACAAAACGGAAATACATATTATGTATCGTAGTGTATTCTAATTGTGTGCCAAATTAAATTAAAATCAGACCAAAACTGTAGGAGGAGTAACGTTTTACGGGAATTTCACAAAAATTTCTATTTTAAGTAACCATGGCAACACTGTTCATTGAATTCAAAAACCAATGCATTAAATAATGTATCTTAGTATAGTTTTCTTGTATGCCTAATTATATTAAATGCAGACTAAAACTGTAGCAGGAGTAGCGTTTTAAAGTACTTTCACAGAAATTTCTATTTTTAGTAACCATGGCAACACCATTCATCGAAATCGAAAAACGATAAAGTAAATTATGTATCTAAGTGTAGTCTACTTGTATGCCAAGTTATATTGAAATCAGACCAAAACTGTAGGAGGAGTAGTGTTTTAAAAGAATTTCACAGAAATTTCTAATTTTAGTAACCATGGCAACACCGTCCATCGAAATCAAAAACCGATGCACTAAATTATGTATCTTAGTGTAGTCTACTTGTGTGCCAAGTTATATTGAAATCAGACCAAAACTGTAGGAGGAGTAGCGTTTTAAAGGAATTTCACAGAAATTTCTATTTTTAGTAACCATGGCAACACCGTCCATCGAAATCAAAAACCGATGCACTAAATTATGTATCTTGATGTAGTCTACTTGTGTGCCAAGTTATATTGAAATCAGACTAAAACTGTAGCAGGAGTAGTGTTTTAAAGGAATTTCACAGAAATTTCTATTTTTAGTAACCATGGCAACACCGTCCATCGAAATAAAAAACCAATGCACTAAATTATGTATCTTAGTGTAGTCTACTTGTGTGCCAAGTTATATTGAAATTGGACCAAAACTGTAGGAGGAGTAGCGTTTTGAAAAATTGTTTACAGACAGACGGACAGACAGACAGACGACAGACACCTTACTATCGCATAAGCTCTTCTGGTCTCTGACCAGTAGAGCTAAAAATGTACTAAAGAGTACGGAAAATTTTTAGAAAGCAATGTTAATTATTTTTTAACTCCAGACTTCTTGTCCACGATTTTACTGGTCAACCCTCGTATTATTCCTTATATATAGATATACTCAAAATTACTCTTCTTGCACATTTTCATTTAAGTCCTCAAAGTAGGCATACCTGTAAATTGAGATCAATAAACTGGTAAGATGTGTATATCTTTGATAGATGTATCCAGTCATTTACTATCTGTTCTGTGCTGGTCACATTACAAGAGGTATTTTTCCATAGATATACTTCATAGTGACATATTCCAGACTCAGGATCTTCAAACTTTTCCCACTGAACAGTTACAGTACTGTTATGTGTTAAGTATGCAACAGGCTGAAATTAATGAGATAAACAGAATTTTTGTAACAATGTTCAAGGCATCTATTAATGTGGAAAAGATTTAAATTCAAATGAGTTAAAACAAAATTAGGCACAAAATGTCTTTAAAAAAGTGTAAGCTTTCAAAATTTGTGACTATGCATCTTAAGTGACATTAAAAAAAACATGATATACATATAATATTGTCCAAATTACCATATTATACCATGGACCTGTCTTTACAATGCCATCCAATGGCTTGGTTATGTCCACAGTAAACTTAGTATTGGACATAGCACATTCTCCAGACTTGTCTGTACCTATAAATAGAGAAGTAGTACATGTATAACTGATGAGTTTTCAAGTTTTAAAAAAATTATATATACAGTGCCCACTGTCCAATCCAACAACTGTGCAATCCTGCACACTGGACTTTCCAACCTCATATTTTATTCCCAAACAAGAGGCCCAGGGGCCACATCACTCACCTGAGCACTCTGAGTCCTGAAAAGTTTACATATAAAATTGGTTCGGGGGGGGGGGGGGGGGGGGGAGGGATGGAGTGTTAATTTGAACTAACTTGAATCTAAACTTCATAGGGATGCTTTTGAATTAATATGACAAATAATGGCTTTGCTGTTATTAAGAAGAAAATTTTGATTGATATATCCTTTGTATGATCCCCTGTTATGGCCCCTCTATTCTCCTGGGGATCATGACTTGTACAAATTTGAATCTACATTACCTGATGATGCTCCCATTTAAATATGACTACTCATGTAAAACTTTGATCGCCCATTGTGGCCCCACCCTACCCCCGGGGGTCATGATTTGAACAAACTTGAATCTACACTACCTGAGGATGCTTCCTTATAAATATGCCAATCATGGCTTTGCTGTTCTTGAGAAGAAGATTTTTAAAGATTTTTCCTATGTTTAACTTTGATCGCCCATTGTGGTCCCGCCCTACCCCCGGGGGTCATGATTGGAACAAATTTGAATCTACCTGAGGATGCTTCCATATAAATATGACCAATCATGGCTTTGCTGTTCTTAAGAAGAAGATTTTTCCTATGTTTTCCTATGTAAAACTTTGATCGCCCATTGTGGCCCCACCCTACCCCCAGGGTCATGATTGGAACAGACTTGAATCTACACTACCTGAGGATGTTTCCATATAAATATGGCCAATCATGGCTTTGCTGTTCTTAAGAAGAAGATTTTTAAAGATTTTTTCTTATGTATTCCTATGTAAAAATTTAAGTGCCCATTGTGGCCCCATCCTACCCTCGGGGGTCATGATTTGAACAAACTTGAATCTACACTACCTGAGGATGCTTCCATATAAGTTTCATATTTTCAAGCACAGTTGTTTTTGAGAAGAAGATTTTTAAATGATGCCATTAATATTTCATGAATTCATAATTATCTCCCCTTGGAAGAAGGCGTGGCCCTTCATTTGAACAAATTTGAATTCCCTTTACCCAAGGATACTTTGTGGCAAGTTTGGTTGAAATTGGCCCAGTGGTTCTTGAGAAAAAGATGAAAATGTGAAAAGTTTACGACAACGATGAGAGACAACAGACAAATTTCAATCAGAAAAGCTCACTTGAGCCTTCGGCTCAGGTGAGCTAAAAATTCTTTATAATTTATATAGAATAAAACACTGTATATTCCGACCACTGTACATTCCGAATTCCGGCGCTTTTTTGTTAACAAACCTAGATAATTACTTTATGATTTCACCTGAGTAATCTGACATAATTACAATGGTGTACCGTAATTAGCTGCTGACCAGGTAACATGAATGTCCCGTTTGGTCACAAGATTGGTCTTCTTAGAGAGAAGTTAATTACACGCACGAGTTTGAAAGCGTTATCTAAGCATTAAATGAACAGTTTTTGAAATTAAAAATTAGGCAATAATTTCTCTTTGTAGTTATCAATTTTATTCTCGCATTGACAAAATAACATCCATGCAACAGAAAATAAAAAAAGTACATGCCATTTAGATCGCCTTTAGCTTACAGAATAAATAAGATTTTTAGTTTGAAATTAAAATCAAATATGCAGTCAGAGTCCTTCGTGAAGCCATGTAATGAAAATAAAAAATGAGGAAGGCGAACTACTGTGTAACGTGTACACAATTTGAAGGCAGCATTTTGTCTAATGGAAAACATTTCATTTCCGGGTTAATATACCCTGAATAAAGCGAGGCTGTACACATAAAAGATTTGCTGGAAGCAAAAAATACCGCTTTAAGTTGTCCATTAAATTTTAAAATATTACGTCTGTTTGATTAAAATTCAATCGCAATCACGTTTTAGAGTTAAATCCCGTTTGTATAAAAAGTCGTGTGACAGTATTAATAGCACAGTCTATGTTGAGAAATAAACAATGGCGAAAATATGTTGAAAAAAAAAAATTCCACTGTGTAGAGAAGATAGACGAAATATTTACTTTTATCGACTGTATTGTCAATAAGTAAAAATTAAATTCCAACATCGCGAAGCGATCTGCAGTTCCATCCGTTTTGTCCATGAAAAAAAATCATCGAATGTTACTAATTCTATATCTCAAACACTGCTTCTCAAAGAAATGCTAATCAGGTATATTTTATACAACAAAGAAACACACAATTATGCAAACACTTTGACAATTAAATATACGTGTACTCTAAACCTATTGATTTTTTTTTGGATGAAGTCATCTGACACTAATGATAATGCTTGGAAATATTCAACACTGGATAATCCCACACACTGCCTAATCCGACATTGATTTTATTTCCCGCAACATGTCGGATAAGAGAGGTTTCACTGTATCTATATTTCAGGAAGAGAAACAAGACTCCAGTGATTATTATGGCCAATGGTCTCTATAGTAATAATACGATAATATGCATAGACAAAACACATACCTATTACCCAGACATAGTAAGTCTTTCCATGTTGCAAATGAATGTTTACTTTTTCGTAAGTATTTTTCCCCACATTTCTAACATCCATCTCGGAAAACAAAATCTGCCTTTCAGAATCAGGAATGCCATGGTCTGAAATCTATGAATACATGATATTTTTTTAAAACGGTAGTATGTTATTTAAAGGGTACCTTTTACAAATTTTTTGTTTAAAATATTAACTATAACTAGATCATAAAAATTTAAAATTAAAAAAAAAATATTTCATCTCCTCCCTGCACTTCCACTAAAGCACCATTAATAAAGTAACATCTGAGCATTTGGTAAAATAGATATTTCAGATTCTCACAAATTCCTTGCAGTTGGTAAGATTGGCATCTGTCGTGTTTGAGATGGCTATGTAATACATCAGTATTCCAAGTCTAGATGAGAATCCTTCATACTGGACCTCTAAGGTGTCCTGGGATGATATATACAGAGTAGGAATGGTTACGATTCCAGCTTGAAAACAAAGATGTTCAAAAGTTAAATGATGCATTTGTAGTGTACACTTGTCAATTTAACTGTATGTACACCTATATCTTTATGAATCTTGATCATATTTACAAAGAGATGTCAGTAACATCAATATTTATGTGTAAAACCTAGGGTTAAAACTATTGTACATCAGAGAGTAACATCACTGATCCTTTAAGATTTTTTGATGTCCGTTTATAAATAAACTGGGAAATCATCAAAAAAAAAAAAAACAGCCAAACACAACTTTGCCAGTGCATGAATATAAAGCAGCGAGAGGACCAAGGGCCGCAATGCTCACCTGAGCCTCATTGATTGGCCCTATTGTTATGCATCAGATTTTCTTCCCAATATACATGTATTCCTATGTAAAATTTTTATCGTCTTTTGAGACCCCACCATATACACAGAGGTTATGATTAGAGCAAAAATGAAACAATATGAGCAGAGGATGCTACCAAATTAATATAATTAATCATAGCTTTGCTGTTCTTGAGTATAAAATTTTAAAGATTTATCCCTAAGTAATCCCTATTGTGCTCTGATTCCCTATTGTGGCCCCACTCTACCCCGGGGGGGGGGGGGGGGGGGCATTTGAGTAATTTAAAATTTACACAGTTATACTACCTCAAGAAGCTTTGACTCTCGTTTCAGCTCTTCTGGCCCATTGGTTCTTGAGAAGACTTTAAAGTTTTGTCCTTTATACCTTATTTCAATGTAAAACTCTGATTCCCTGTTGTGGCCCCACCCTACCCCTGGAGGCCATGATTTGAACATTTTACATTGAATTACCCTCAAGATTTTTGCATTTTATAGCATTCAGATTGTTAATCTCTATTTTTGGAGTAACACTGACTGAATCCACAAAGCACTTTATTATCATCACTTGACCTCAGTCACATAAACAACCACCTCACCAAAACAATCTCTACACACAGAAGAGTTCCCCACCAAGAGTTATCTCTCTTAGTGTATTAACACAATATAAAAATATATATTAACATTAATTACAATTTCCTTTTTTTTTTTTTTTTTTTTTTTTTTAACAAAATTTGATAAAGAAGTTACTAAAGAAATTTTACCTATCAATGAATATGTTTTGTTCATATTTACATGTAATTACTTTGACAGTGATGACCTTCATTGGATTAGACTATCCTCAGGACATCAGGGGATTATTCTGCCCCTTTACATATAGAGATGCATTTGAACATACAATGTCTATCACAAAAATTCATACGAATTCTTCTGGTAACTTCCCCGTCTGTAGAATTTTAAGCAGCTCCATTCCATTTGCTCCACGCTTGGTCATACAATTGGCTAGCTGCACTTTTCCTGGACACCATTTCACATGTACATTACTGTTATTCTTTATTTCACTAATTGCTGCTATGTCAATTCGAAGGCGCTTGTCATCCACCATTCTTGTAGACTGTAATGCCTCAAAAACACTTTTGTTCTCAATGAATGCTGTAATTGGTATTTTATCTGCTTCCAATGTACAGATCTCCTCTAGCATTTTCCTGTAATACAATGCAGACTCAAGGCCCTCTTGCAAACTTAAAGCTTCTGCCGCAATTGTTGAACGAACAACTCTCTTTATTTTGTTGGCCTGCCAATGAATAGGACAACAGTTTCCAACGCGGTCTTTGAACCACAAAATTTGACCTCCAGTACTTCCTTTCCCCTCGTTTATATTTGCCAGCGCTGCATCCGAGAAAACAAAAATCTCCCAGTCTTTTTCAGCTGACCCATGTAGAGAAGGGAAAATTTGGATTGGTATTATGTCTTTCAGTTTCCCAATAGCTTTTATAGCTCTTAGTATGTCTGCCACTGTTGCAGTTTTCAATTTTGTACTTAGATCAACTAATTCAAATGCTAAATCTGGTCGTGAACCTTGCACTGCCCAATTGAGTTGTCCGATTAATTTACGATATAAAGTTTGTTCTTCCATAGTAAGTTGTTCATGTTTCTGCATTGCTCTTTTAGGATCAAGGTGGGGGTGATCCAATTTCTCCATAAACTTTGAGTGATCTACAGTAATACCATTTTCATTCTGTTTTATGTGGAATCCAATGTAATGAAAATCTTGTTCCTCAACTTTACCAGCTAGAAATCTCTGTTTTAGTTTACACAACAAATCCTCAAATTCCCTTTCTCCGGCATGTAGAAAATCATCAACATGACAGCATACCATCCCTATCAGAATTTTTCCATTTTCTTTAGTGAACATAGCAGGGTCCATTTTTGATTGACTGCATCCTAGTTTAAGCAGCTCATCTCGCACACTCATGTAAAACTGACGAGCACCATCTTTTAAGCCGTATAGTCCATGCTTTAGCTTCCATATAAAACCAACTGGTGTGTTACTTTCATAGGGAGGTTTAATGAACACTTCCCTTTGTATTGTATTCCCTTGCAGAAATGCAGACTTTATGTCTGTAGTTTTTACTATCCATCTTTTGCTAGCTGCCACAGTGAGAAATGTCCTGATAGCCCCTTTACCTATTGTTGGACTATCTGAAGGAATAAAAGAATGTTCCTCAAACCCTCATGCAACTAACCTAGCTCTTGTATTACTGTCTTTGCCAGTTATTACCCATCTGGTTGATTTGTATTCTGTCCATGGTCCTCTACTTCATCATATGTGTTGAAATGACGCAGTTTGTCTAGTTCTGTTTGTTTGGCATTTTCAATAAACATATCACTGGTACCATGAGACGCTTCACTGTATGTGTCGAAGTGGGCTAAGTTTGCTTCTTCTGGGTTGACAGTTTTCCACTCCACAATATCTAGATCAAGACTTTTATCTTCATTTTCAACACTGTTTCTAACATTATACCAAGAAGGGTACCTTCCTGTCGCTTTTCCAGCTCTTCCCAGTACTGTTGCCTCAGTCCATTCCTCTGAGTTTGGTAGCTTGTACTTGATCCTGTCATGTTTCTTTGGTCGCTGTCTCTGGTCAGGTCGTGGATCTATAGCTACTTCCTGGTTAAGTTGCTCTGGTGCCTGACTAAGTGTTTCTGAAACAGTACTTGGAAAGTCAGTCTTTGTTCTCATAGCAACATCCTCACTGTTTTTATTTTCACACGGTTTCTCTAAACTGTCTTCACTCAGATTCATTTCTGTCTGATCTTGTGTAATTTTGCACAGTCTGTTAGGGGATACTCTCACAAAGACACCCCCATGCCTCACAAACACAACTTTTCCGTCTTGAAATACCACCTTTCCAGGTCCTAACCAGCGCTCTCGACCCTCTCTTTTGTAAAACACCAAATCACCATTGTCGTATGTTACTTCTGCTGCTCTAACTTTGAAACGCAGTGCTCTTCGTATTCTTTCATCTGCTTCACTTTGAATAAAGGCACGTCTTGCTTCATGCAGGGTGTTCAAATGCCTAGCCAGTGTCTCAGAACTTGTACTTCCTTCCAGGGCAGGCAAATCTGCTTTCATGACGTTTGGCAAATTTGGATTCTGTCCAAATATTAACTGATGGCTGCTAAAACCATTCCACATCTGTAATGAGTTTCTTGCCATATTTGCCCATGCAAGAAGTGTTTCAATATTAACAGCTTTGTTTTCAGCTTCAAGTTTGAGCAGCATCATATCTGTTATAGCATGAACACGTCCACAAAGTCCATTTTGAAAAGGGCTCATTCCTGCTGTTGTGCATAAACGAATGTTGAGAATAGATGCTATTTCTCGCATTTCATCTGAACTAAATTCTCCACCATTGTCAGTCATCAAGGCTCCCATTACTCCAAAAACTCCAACCCAGTTTTTCATCATAGCATCAATGACATCTTTTGGCTTCTTTCGCTGTATGAAGACAGAGACTGTATATCTAGACCACATGTCTATCATGTGTAATATCCAGCGACCCTTATACTGTTTGAGGTCCATCGCAACTTTCTCATTGAATTCCTTTGCCATTGGCATTGCTACTACCGGTCTTGGTGGTGTCTTTGCGTATGCTTTACAAAGGTCACATTTTTGTTCTATTTCCAACAGGTGTTCCTCAAACTCTTCCTTCCATACTCCTGCATCTTGTAACAAAGCCACAAGTCTCTTTTTCGGGGGGTGTGCAAACTGCCGATGAAGTTTCAAAAGAGCAGACTTGAGTTTTTCAGGCTCCAATTCTTCAAGCTGAACTGAGTTCACCTCTTCTATAGGTACAGTCTCTGATTTGTCAATTGGTATACAATAATGGCCAGATGTAGTTAAATTAAGTGCCACATCTTGTCCCATAATGACAGCAGTATCCTTCTCCAAATCCAGTTTTACCCCTGCTTTTTTCATTGCAGTTCTGGAAAGCAGTAAAGGGATGTCAGAATCAACCACATCTGTTTTGACTGTAACAGGTTTACCAACCATACTGACTGGTAATTCATATTCTCCTTCAGATTTCAATCTTGTTCCACCACCAAATTTGAAGACTTTATGCCCCTCGCGTCTCAATTAAGACTTTCCCACGATCACTTTCCTTCAGTGAGCTAAGGTAACTTTGTAGCCATGTTTTTCCACATACGGTGCTGCTGCATGCACTATCAAGTACTGCACAGTTTCGTGCTTCTGTCCCAAGTTGGCTGATTTCATTTTTATGGTATCCCGTAAACAAAACTGCATGCTCTGTTAACGACTCTTCCTCTGTTATGTGTACTTTAGATATGTTTTCCCAACTGTCTGGACATTTTGCCACGAGATGCCTGAATGATCCACAAGATCTGCATGTCATAATGTTTCCATCTGCACCTTGTGGGTTGAGATTTTTAGTCCCACGCTGTGATGAGAAAAATCCTGAACCTCTGCCACCACCGCTACTGTAGTTAAAGCGCCCACCTCGCCGATATCCATAATTGCCACCTCTTCGTACATAGCCCGCAGCCAATAATACGTCTTCATTTTCTGCTAAAAATGCTGGTTCTGAGTTTTATACTCTTGTTGTCACACTGTGTATGTCCTCCTTCACCCATGAACTTTTTTAACGACTTCTTTGCTTCTTCATATAATGTGGCCTTATTTTCATAATTCATTCCAGTCAAAACTAACATTTTTTGCTCTTTTGTGATGTTTGCTTTTCTCAAAAGTTTAAAAGCTAATATTTCTGAAGGAAGTGTCATTTTCTTTTTCTCAATTTTTCTGTACTTACTGTCAAATATTGCTATGAACTCATTCATTGATTGTCCTTCACTTCTATTAAGGTCCTCAAATTCCTCGAACTTTTCCAAACTGTCTGCTAGGTCATCTTTAGCAAGGTGTTTATCAAGAAAGTCAAGAAGGGTTTTAAAACCTGTTTCCTTTTTTAAATCTTCAAGCTTGATTTGGTCAAAAACTTTCTCACGAATCTTACTGTCATCTTCCTCTGGAAGTGTAAGTGCAACAGCAATGCCTTTCTTCTCTTTTGCAAGTTCTGTTATTTCACTCCAAGCCAATAACTCATGTCTGTATAGTTCATAAGGCTTAGATTTGGATTTGAACACTGGTGGATTGATCTTGGTCGCCATATTGGATTCACTGTTTCCCTCCTTTTTTTTTCCCCCAGACTCACCCTGTTTATACTTCTTCTGACACAGTTCACTGCCTTTCACTCGACACTGGGGTTGATTTTACGCTCTGCTACCACTTGTTAATCTCTATTTTTGGAGTAACACTGACTGAATCCACAAAGCACTTTATTATCATCACTTGACCTCAGTCACATAAACAACCACCTCACCAAAACAATCTCTACACACAGAAGAGTTCCCCACCAAGAGTTATCTCTCTTAGTGTATTAACACAATATAAAAATATATATTAACACAGATTTAGATCAAAGGACTCCTAAACTTTTAGTTTTTAAATTTTTGCCATGAATCCATTTCCTTTGTTTAGATAGTATGAAATACATGTACTTTGAAAGTTACAGGAGGAAACCAATGTGGTTTACTTTTAATCTTAAGGTCTGAAATGTGAATCTTGTAAATATGCATAAATATTTATAAAAAAAACAATAAACAATAATAATGCACCCTATACTATGACTTCATAAATGTGAATCATCTTCCTGAGCAGTTATCTAAGGTTAAGAGAAGATACCCATTCTAGCAAGCAGCATTTTAAAGTTTTATAAAATAATAAATATGTTTTATCGCATTTACTCCTTTAAACAGAAGATGTAACTCATAGGATATCGTTTTCATATTCACCGTTGTGATGTCACAATGGGTTTTTGCATAAATCTAATCTAATCAAGTCTAATTTGTGGATTTACACATATAAAACAGTGTAAGACATGAAATAGCCAAGGCTCAGGGATAAAAACACCCGACTCTTTGGATAAAAATTCATAACCAACCAAAAACCATGGAAGATCCTATATTTATGGTGTGTGGTTTGATGTTATTCAAGCTATGTTTATTCCATCTACTAAACATAATTAACCTACCAGTTACTCCTCCATCATAGCCAACATAGAACCCATTGGATGTTACCAGTGTCTTAGAAAATGACTTGCTGACAGCATATACTGAAAAGTAGTAAACTGCATCTCCAAGAGAAAGATCCAAATCATAAAATGTAACTGAAGTATTTGTCCCCACGTTTAGGTATGGTACCACGTTGTCACGTGTTTTGTTGAAGCGCCTGTCTGTTCCAAGAGCAACTAAGTAATAAGCCACCTGTTGACTTTTATCTTGTTGATTTATCTCTAGTTTGTCTATTTGAAGTCCTGGGTTACCTTTTAAAACCAGAATAAGAAGACAATGAATGCCTCTGAAATGTGATTAAAATTATAAAAAGTATAATCTATGTGGTCATTTTAAAAATAAACATAGGTAAGTGAAAATTACAGAGCTAACCTCCACAAATGTTATATCTTTAAATAAGGCAAAGTCCAACACTAAACTAACAAGAAGTCTGTGAGCCCATGCTCAGTAGTAATACACCCTCTCTGATGTGAATATATGCTCTCATGAATCCCACCATATGGCATGTCAAAACAAAGAGTGTGCTTAAATTTCAAGCATCTGCCTTGAGTAGTTCCTGAATAAATTGCAACACAAATTTGGTTCGGACAGACGCATGGATAAACAGGAAGTTGACACTGGTTTTCGTAAAAAAAAATGAATCCCATCATATGGCATGCCTAAACAAAGAGTGTGCTAATATTTCAAGCATCTATGACGAGTAGTTGCTGAGAAAACTGTAACAAAAATTTGTTATATATGGTACGGTTAGACGAATAGATAAACAGGAAGTAGACATCAGATTTGTACAAAAATAAACCCCACCATATGGCATGCCTAACAAAGAATGTGCTAAAATTTCAAGCATCTGTAATGAGTAGTTGCTGAGAAAACTGTGACAAAAATTTGATACGGACAGACACACAAGGGTAAAACAGTAAACCCCCCATCCTTCAGAGTGGGGGTATAATAATCTAGTAGTGTGCATCCCTAGATACAACATTTATGAAATTTTGGTCCAGGTAGGACTTGTAGTTACTTGGGAATGGACTTGTTTTAAAATCTTTAAACTGGTCACTTATCCAGAAAATGCAGGTATATCCAGCATACAAAGCAAGTCTGTCAGTGTGCATCCCTTGATATGTACATCTGCATCCATATACGTTTGTCCAGGTAGGCCTTTTCATTACATAAAATGGATTTGCTTTAAAGCTTTAACCTGTTCACTCATCTGGAAAGCTTAGGTCAGATCCAGCATCCTAAGCAAGTATGATAGTGTGCATCCCTAAATGCATATTCCATGCAAGTTTGGTCCAGAAAGGGCTTCTGTTACGTTAGATTGAGTCTGCTCCAAAAATTTTATCTGGAAAATGTAGGTCAAATCCAGCACCCCCTTCTTTTTCTTTCCACAAGGTACCTAACTCAATTTCAGGCACCCCCACTTCAACCTCCTATTTTGTTAATATATCAATCATTAACCTACTTTAAAATGACATGTCACTTTGAGAGACTTTTTTCTTGTCAAATAAATAATGTCAGACACCTCTGGTCGAGCCTCTTCATTTATGCCTCGAAAATTACCTCGATACATTTTAAGACTCAAGACGGGATACAAGAACTTCCGGTTAGGGTTGTAGTGTATGCTAAATCAGAGATCTCAGAATGGAAAATTCGGAAGTCTCTAGTCTTTATTCTACATTTATAACCCCAACAGGAAGTTCTGGATGAAGGCAAAAAGATGTTCTTTGGAGAGTTTGGATGAAACTTGCCTATAATATTTGTGAATTCATAAAATGAAACACTCGATCAAGACGATCAAAAATTAGACAAGAGATTGAAGACAAACTTTGATAAAAACAGTTTACTTGAGGCATTAAGGTATTATTTCAGATAAGCTATGAACTAACTCACCACTTTCCACATCTACTTGTACAATAGCATTTGATGGAAGACCAAATCCATTCCAGTTTGCTGAGACTCTGGTTTTTAAAGGGAGATAATTGAGGTCAAATCCATCAATATCTCCATCATACACTTTACCAGGCAGAAGTGGGGTGTCTTCAATAGTTACCCCAGTTGATCGGAGTTCATACTGGTATCCTATTGCATTTCTGACTCGAACAAAATTTATGTAAGTTTCTTTATTTTTTAAGTGTAGTCCATCAATCAAACCAAATGTTTTCACTGAAAATTAGATAATAAGGCATATATTGTTAAAATCATTAAGATAAATTTGTTTAATGAAAACCAGATTCAAACTTAGTAACTCACATCCCATATTTAAATAGCTTGATATTTCTAGTCCATCCAGCCTCCTAATCGCCCAGTCATACTGAACAACTGGACAAGGGTCTCCAGACACATCCCAGCTTGCCTGAATGGTAGATGGGTCTGTCTGATAATCTCTGTTGAACAAACAAATGTACTGAGATATTGTTGCCAAACTAGTTCTTCCAGTTATATATTTAGCTAGCTCTTGCCTAGTGGATCCAAATGAAATTTTATAACTGTTCCCAATACATAGTGAAAATCCTTTTGTAGATTTTTGAGATCTATACACATAAAAGCAAACTGGAATAAAACTTGGATGAAATTTAATCTCCTTAATACTAGTCTTGAAATTGATTTCCCCAATAAATCCATGAGAGAGAGAGAGAGAGAGAGAGAGAGAGAGAGAGAGAGAGCAGACAAAGTACATACACATCAATGTGTTCTCCATTAACCATGTCAATGACTCCAATATGTGACAGGGGTGGTCTCCCTTGACTGAGATAGGACAAGTAGACACCATTTGAAGTAGCAACACTTGATAAGCCAGCACCATTGATTCCTTTGACAGACACAAATACCTGTAAAACAGAGTTTAACATCTGTATTTATAAAACACACTAAAATACAATAATATATATACTCCATAGAAGACTTTGGGACTGACCTGTCTGTATCCGTCAAGGTTGAGTTCTGTGACTGTGTGGTGCTTACTGTCAGCTGGAATGCTGTAGAAAGCTTTGATCTGACCTCCTCCAGGGGAGGTACCCACAGCTATCTGGTACCTGTCAATCAACATTTACCAATTAACTAGGAACTGACAATGACACAAATAAATGAATCACAGTTAATGTATTTATACTAATGGATAACAAGTACTGTAAATTCACCTACTCCACTATACTGGACTCTGGATCAGTAAATGGTATCCATGTTACAGAGAGAGAAGTCAGAGACTCTGTACAAACAGCATCTAAGGCTCTGCATTCTGACAAAACAAATCTTTTACAGTCAAAAAACATTCAATGATAAATATATAAACTTTATAAATAAGTACAACTGCAAACAAATGCAACTTTCTTGACAGTTATACCGTTAGTACCTTCTTCTGAATTACATATCTTGGCATTCATAGACACAGTGTTTTCTGTGTTTGAAGCATCAATGCGGTAGACAGAGTTCAGGTCAACAACCATACCAGACTGCGGAGGTGTGAGGTCTACTACTATGGCTTTTGAAAACACACTAGTTGTCATACCCACATAATTTACAGCTGTGATTGTGACAAAATACTCCACACCATGAATCATCTTCTTTCCAACACCTATTAAAAATAATAATGATTTTCAAGAATAAAGAATAAGGACTTATCATAATAAAAAGATTTTAAAATTTAAAATGTATTGCATTTTCATTTTATATTTCATATGTACCAAATTTGCTGTCTGCCAAGCAAGAGGTTCTCAAAATATCTTCCTATATCTAAAGCAGTTTAACCTTTGACCATGTGGCCTCAAAATCAAAAGGAGTCATTTACTTCTTAGTGGGTACCAGTGTACCAAGTTTGATGTCTGTCAAGCAAAAAGGGTTCTCAAAATACTGAGTGGACAAAAAAATACTGAACAAACAATAGCTTTTCATTTCCAGAGTAGTTTGACCCTTGACTTTGACATTGTGACCTCAAAATCAATAGGGGTCATATACTTTACAGGGAGTGACAGAGTCCCAAATTTGTTTGTTAAGCAAAGAGTTCTCTAAATATTAAGTGGACAGTATCTTAGCATGTCTAGAAAAGTCTTTGATCTAAATCAGTAGGAGTCATCTTCTATTTACAGGATTGATACAAGTGTATTAAGTTTGACATCTGTCATGAAAAGGGTTCTAAAGATATTGAGTGGACAACACTTGGTCTACTGACTGACACACCAACTGACCAACAGGTACAAACCAACATGACCCCCCCCCCTTTTTTTTTTTTTTTTTTTTTTTTTTTTTTACAAAGGAGTGCATAAAAAGTCTGGAAAACCTGTAAATATTTCTAAAACCAAGGGTCCTAATTCCATTAGAAATCATCAAAGTGGAATGAAATGAGAACATAAATGAAACTCACCAAGGTAGACTCACATACCAAAAATCAACTCAATATCTGTAAACAACTGACACAACATTGTGACCTTTAGCTTGTCCAAATGACCTTAAGCCAATGACATGATACATCCTAAGGTCATACAGAATCTAGCTTCAATGTCTCACCTTAAAAACAAGAGGCCCATTTGCAACAATACTCACCCGAGTCACTATGCCTATATATTCCTATGTAAAACTTTGTTTGGCTATCTTGCCTCCCACCTTACCCCCAGGGGTCATGATTTAAATAGACTTGAATCTACACTACCTGAGAATGCTTCCATATCAATATAATTAATCATGCATTTGCTGTTTTAAAGATTTTTTTCCCTATATATTCCTATGCATACTTTGATCACCTATTGTGGCCCCACCCTTCCCTTGGGGGTCATTTGAACAAATCTGAATCTACCTGAGGATGCTTATAAGTTTCATCCTTTCTAGCTCAGTGGCTACTGACCAAATTGCTGGGGTGATACATTTATTGATGTACTCTAGTGGACTTGCTTTGGTTCTTGATATGACATATATTTACTGGATGAGTGAACAGGTTAAAGTTTTTGGAGCTAGTTCATTACCAAGAAACTATAAGATCCACCTGAGTTGAACTTGGATGGTTGATGCAACAACCAGAATACGCAAGTTTCGAGATTATCTCCCTTGTGTGTTCTTTCGTTACCGAGGGTTTTTTTGTATCCACATGAACTGGCAGGTGGGATAAGTCATAAATATTGGAAATGTTACATCATCAATATGCCGTTCTATCATTAACTGATTGTTGGGATGCACTCTTCAACTTGACCTTCAGATTTCCAAAAATGTCATAGGTCATGACATATCTTCAGGTCATGAGCATTATTTGCATCATGCAGGTATGAGCTTTCATATTTGACTGAATAGTGGGTTTTCTTGGAGAGAAAAATTGGTGTTCTGCTTGCTCAAAGATATGCCAATAGTTTTGGTGGAGTTTATTTTAGAGGACACAAGTTTTTTTTTTTTGACTTTGCAAAAGTACTGCTAATTCAGTGATAAAAATTTTAAGTTTCTTCCAAAATGCTTTAGCCAAATTTAGCACCCCACTAAAATAACCCACTATACAGTATATTACATAGATACAGCCTGATATGATAAATGGACAGATTGCAAATCCCCCATTTCTTTTCTTTTTTTTTTTTGTTACATATGATTACCTTGTAATGTAAACGTTTGCATATTGCCAGGAACAACCCCTCCAGAGAAAATAGAGTCATCTCCCTTTGAAGAACCCATCATGACATGGAATTCTTTGATGGGAGATTCAGTGTCCACGATTCCAGTCCAGGTACATATTACAGGTACATATTTCTGAAAAATAATATACCGTATTTGGCTGAATATAATACGCACTTTTTTCCCAAAATAATTTTCTGTGAGAAAGGGGTGCGTATTTTACACCACAATGGGATTTTGATAGGTTTTTCTTTCATGTGAAACACGGCTATCATACGCACATACCGTAGTATTACCTAGAGACTTATGCAATTTCTTGCTGTTTATCGCCGTATTTAAAACTTCGGAAAGTTATTGTTGGAATGTAGGCTTGTTAAAAATGTTATATCTATTACCTTTTGATAGTTAAATTAAATTTAAAAGCAAGTTAAAATTAATTTGAGCTGCATGTTCATCGTCTTCGTGTAGGCTGCCATTAACGATGTTATTTATAGATGTTCACACATTCCTTTGCCACGTGCTTCTGTAATCATAGTACACATGTACCTAATCAGTCAGACACCGGTCAAAAAAGTAATAAGTCATTTTATAATGAAATACAATAAAATAAAATTTATTTTAGGTTTTAAATAACTCAGTGAAAATTCATTTCAACATAAACACACCTCTATAGATACATCCCAATGAATGGAAGCCAATGTTGTGAACACATGCGCTTGTCACTTGATAATATTACCCCTCAACACCCCTCCAGGCAATTAAATTGTTTACCAACTCTTGTTTTTTACAGTTAGAGCACTGATTATTTACTGTCCTTGTTAATGGCTTTGATTATTTTCTTTGTTAAAAATCGGGGGTTGGTTTATGATCTTTCGTATGTGATTACGACACATTAAACAGTTAAACGCTTGTTAAATGTAATTTTACTTTTAAATTATCTTATATCGGCCTGTGTTAAAATGATTGAGAGTTAAAAAAGGAAATATGAAGTATGTTGAAACTTAAGTGTTATCATTTACTCTTGCTCTGTAGAAAATAAGATATCCACGAAGATTACCTCGATGTATGAAGACATATATCCCACCTTTGTACATCATTTTTCACAGCTTTGGAGGTGTGTTGATAACTTTACACGCTTGTTAAATTTTGATTTTATTTTTATAACATCAGCTATTTATTCAATTAATTAATTTCAAGTTCAAAAGAGGAAAATCGTAGTCTATGAATACTTTGATGTTGCAATATCGCTTGCCCTGTTAAATTTACATAATTTTCAACATGATTACCTTAAACTAAAAATAAATATGACAACTGTTAAACTTGCAACAATATCTCGTGCTTTGATGAAATAGAATTATTTCTACAAAGAATATTTAGAATACGGCGACGTATAATTTCAATATCACCGTATGCTAAAAAAATTGATAATAAACTCTGTTAATACTTTAATGCAACATTATCTTGTGCTTTGTTAAAATAAATAATTACTCCAGATTGCCGCGATATGGAAAGTCAAGATTAAGAAATAAAAACGCATTTGAATAAAATATCGTGTTCTGTAAATTTTCGGCATTTTATCTCCGCGTCGATTTTCATAGCAAATTACCGCAATTTTCAAAAATTCAGAACACCGCTTGGTAAAATTTTCTGCTGCGTATAATACAACCGAACTGCGTTCCCCCCCCCCCCCCATTTCAGGCTCAAAAAGGGGGTGCGTATTTTACACCAATGCGTATTATATTCGGCCAAATACAGTAAAGAAAAATATGGTATGTGTTCTAAATGGTTGTCTTTTAAAATAATGTCCTAGGGACCAATTTTCCCAACATAATGATGTATTTATAACTACTATGTACATGTATATACATGTACATAAATATACCATCCAGACCCCCTCACCCTTTTTTATAACTACAAAAGGCTGATCAATACATTATGGCTATGATATTCTGAACCCATGGATCAATATCTTGTGAAATGGTTCCTCAATTTGCAGTGATAATCAGAAGCTGTTCTCAAAACAGGGTTTAACTCTTAATTTACCAAAATTTATTGCTGCAAACCATTTCGATCCTGTGGAAGGTCTTTTTTAGTTGCAAAAATGTCATAGATGGATGTAAATGACAATTGCTCAGTGCTTCCTCAGAAATTATTTTTTGAATCACTCTTTTCTGTTTTATTCCCTTGAAAAGGGCAATGACATTTAGACTGTGCATGCTTGAATTTTCATCACCAAAGTTAACTTTGGCAAAAAAAAGGCAAATTAAAAAAAAACAACAAAAAAACTGGCCCATTAGTTCTGGAGATGATCAAAAGGTATAATGTTTACAAAATTAAATGAAGGAAAACAGCCATATGCCACCTAAGTAGTATTCTGAAATTTGAATTAATTGATGTATGCATACCCTGAAATCAAAAAAAAAAAACTTCTTTACTTTCATTTTAAGATGTTTTTTTTTTTGACATGTACATTTTCCGGAAAAGTAAATCTGACATGCCATATTATAACCAATGAGAGGGAGTTCAATGAGCTTCATTTTTGGACTTCCTTAATTTTCAACAAATATTAGGGGAAAAGTTAAATATTTGAGATAAAAAAATTGTAGGCAATGGAAAATATTTAGTGGACTATACTGATTTGGTAAAACATTTATTAAATTGGAAGAAAATACAATTTTCTTCAATTTCTTTTTATTTGTTTTAGGGTAAATACCTGCAAATATCCAGGACATGTCACATTTCCAGCAGTTGGTGGTGTTTTATCTATCACTACTGTTCCTGTGGCTTTCTGGATGACCAATCCTACAGAGTTCTCTGCCCATACACTTATGATATTAGGTTTTCCTGGAAGCCAATAGGTAAAATAAATAATCTCTTACAATCTTCAGTTATTACACGTGTAACATTATTAATGTAATACTTTTATTTAAGGCACCCTACCAAAAATATCTGGTTCCACTTCATTGTTTCCTAGATAGCTGGACAATGTGGTAGAGATCTCCACCTCCTTTCTCTGACTGAGATCATCAGAGAATGGATAAGTTCCTACAGCATACCAAGCTCTCACTACTTCAGATTCAGTCTCATTGTAATGCCACATGGCTGACAGAGCATCATCTGTTGATTCATAAACCAAACTGTCATCTGAAATGTCCATTTCCTGAGCTGACTTCCCAGACAACCTACAAATAAAAATTAATACTGACATGTCTCATTATTTCAAGGACAACATAGCATGTATAGAAATTGATATAATACAAATACTGTGATAGGATGCATTGGTTTACCTATCTATGTCTATAGTAGGAGAGGTCTGGTCCACAGTAAATCCATCAGAACTTGTTTGTAGTACATTTCCATTATTTGTAATTCCTCTGACTGTAGTGTAGTATTTTCTCTCAGGTTTTAGAGGTATATTAATCTGGGCATACCCAGAACTTGTTAATCCTAGAAAATATTACTCATTACTGAAACAACTGAAATATCAGTCTAGTTACAGTGAATTATGAATGAATCTTCTAGTTTTATTGATGTTATAATGCATGACAACCTTTTCCTACAGGATCTAATTCCTCCAGATGGATAATATTTGCCTCTGTGAAGGCCAGAATGTCCTCTCCATTTGGTTCAGTACCTACTGCCATCTCAAACTGCATCACTCCATGCACGGTGCTCTCAAATCCAGTAAACTGGACCGTAACAGTAGTGGTGTCCAGTTGATAGTCCATGTCTGACATAAAGTCTACGACGGCATCCTCACCAACAATCTTATCAATGTTGTCAGCACCATCAACAACCAAACCTTTAGTTAAATACAATATTGATATCAAAATATTACCTTTTCTGAATTGAATCTTTCAGTGATTTAATATACTATAAAATTTCCAAAAAAATCACTTATTAGGCAGAAACAAAATATAACTCTGAGAATTCAAATATCAAGCAGAAGTTTACCAGCTTTGTCCTCTTCCATGACCATGATAGAAGTGGAAACAGTGGCCGATGGACTGACCAGACCTGCTCCATTCTTAGCTTTCAGTGACAAATAATAAGTTGGAGATTTAGTTGTTTGATTTGTAACCTCCAAAGTAAAACCTGTTATGTACTGACTGCTTTCTGTTCCAACAGACTTCCAAGCCAAAACATCATCACCTCCTAAAGTTAACAGATAATTACATATTTTTTTCTCTTCATCTGCATCTGTTATAATTAGGGATGTCAAAAAAAAATTATTTTTCTTAGTCGATTATTCAATTGCATTATTCAAACGATAGTCGAATATTCACAATATTTTCTGAAAATAAAATTTTATTTCAAACTTCACTGGTACATGATGTATTTGTAACTCAAAAACCCTTATACTTAAATCTATTTAAAATGTAACATCAAAATTAATGCAACGTGACGTGTGGATAGCATAATTATATGAAATAGATTTCCCCTTGAAACGAATTCATAAATCGGTCTGTACAGTCAATTTTTATTTTTATTTTAGTAAACATTATTTAAAAATTGCCAGCCAATATTTTTTAAAGCTTACTATGAAATGATTTTATGGGGGGGGGGGGGGGGGGGGGTCTCACACTATCCACACATCAGGTGCTCGTGATATTGTTAAAAAGTTAGATACTGCTTATTCAATTATTGATTGCCCCTGCTATCAAAATGTCCGTAAAATGTAAGCGAATTGTTTTAATAATTATCCAAGTGTCAAAACATGTCACGGCTATGGTGTGTTCCTTGAATTTGAGCAATCTTAAAATAACTAAATATAATTAGTACACGGTTTAGGATCAACCCCAATTAATATTTTTACAAAGAAAGCCAAGTAATTTGATTGGACAGTAACTGACAAATAATTCTCGGGATAGTGAAGCACTTACAATTAGTGTACTTTCTATATGTACATGGAAAATCAATTTTTTGTTGAGGAAAATTATCTTATCAACTGTCTCTAAGGACTGACTTTTCTCAGTTTTGAGATGAGAATTCCATCTCATTATCACTTTTTTGTCACTTTGACTTTGAGTCCAGGTCATGACACATCTTCATAAACAATCTTTGTACCAAGTATGAGCTTCCGTTGATTCTTTATTACAAATTAACAGCCCAGACAAGAATCTTATACCTTTTTTGTCAGTGCCCTTGAACTTCCCAGAATAACCTTTGGTCAAGGTCAAGACACACTCTGTCATAAACAATCTTTGTACCAAGTATGGGCTTCCAATGATTCTCCATAACAAAGTTATTGCTAAGACAAGATTGAAAGGACAGATGGACAAGATCATCCATTTATACCACCCTCACCCAAAATACTGTTGGGGGGAGGGGGGGTTAAAAAAATAATAATATGAATAAGTAACTAAGCATCACTTTACACTAAATCTGTTCCTTCACAATTGGGTTTTTGCTTCAAACCAACAGCACAAAAAAAATAGTCAGGAAAAACCAGAAATATTAAATGGCCTGCATAATGCAGTCTTAAATTAAAAATGAAATTTATGAATCATTTGGTGGGAAAAAACTGAATTCTCACAGTGATCCTTGTAACTTACTGGTTTATAACTGTCATTTGGTATATTAAAAAAAATATTTTCAACTTGTATTTTGATTGCCATGGGATAAGGCTACCCATACACTAAAACAATGATTTAAAAATTCAAACACAGTGTATTGCAGCAAGCCCATATGTTTGGTACCATAAAGAAGAGAGACATTTTCCCTTTGACCTTTGGATTGATCCCACAAGGGACACCACTCATTCTCCTCTATCATATTTATACTTTTGAATTTAAATAAAGAAGAGAAAAAATGTGCTTGCAGCAGTGTTCCAAGTCTTTTTACCTGGAGATGTGCCTACAGCAACTGTGTACTCGATCACACCTGATTCATGATCCCTACAGAGCCAGGAGGCCTGGATACCCTTCTTATCTGACACCCACACACTACCATCCACTCTGTGTTCCCTTGAATTTCCAACTGTTCCAATTTTTAGCCATGATATCTTCAACATAAAAAATATACCATAAAATAAAATCTATAAATGGTAATGGGCCTTAAAGGAGCCTGGACACAGTTGCATTGTCATTTTGAATTGAACTTGCTTGAAATTCTTAAAATTCAATGACAAGAACATTATATCATAATGTCAAACATCTGTGTTTGTAAACATGGGCACACGCTCTGTTATTGTTAATGTTTACGTTTTATAGGGTGTATTCAATTTGTTTACTCTACACATATCACTGAGCACGGAATGATAATACTAGCAAGTTGGATTTGTTAAGTAATACACAACAGATTTTTCACTTTTCTTAAATATTAAGGATAAAGTTTACTTCTGGAAGTGCAAGGATGCGTGCTAATCAAATGTACGTGTCCTGAAATTTTAAAGGTTTAATAATTTCCAGATAAAAGGAGTGTCTAAATACACTTTTATATTAAACAGTACCTTCTTTTTTGTAGACCTTCTCTTGAAAGGATTTAAAATAAATCTTTTATACATCATTATAACAAAATAGAAACAATGAATGCCATATAGTGAGAATATTGTCTTGATCAGTTCTTCAGAAGATATTTCCATCCAAAAATTTGGACACTCTTCATTGCCCTATCCCTGCTCTGTGGACCATAGATTGAACCATCTTATTAAATTAAAACAACATGAGTAAACTTCCAAATAAAATTGATGTGTAGCAATGTAGTTCTTAAAAATGATTTTTTAACATTTTTTCCTGTTTGTTTGAGTGTAAAACTATCTGTTTGAGTGTAAAACTATCTGTTCGAGTGTAAAACTATCCTCTTTATGGTCCCATCTGGTCTTTGGGGTTATGATTTATTTCCTACATATTAAACAAAACACACACATTTTTTACTCATAGGCTTTTGAGAAGATTTTTACCAATTCCATCTATTTTCATTATTTCTTGTTTTTTGGATTTTTTTTTTTTTTTTTTGAAAAGATCATGGCCTTTCATTTGAATAAACTTGAATCATTTTCATCCACTGACTCTTTGTGGTAATTTCTTTAAACTTCCTATTGTTCTAATTCATGATTCTGATATTTTATTCACATTTGAAAACTTTGATAAAGGCAATATCAGAGAATTTCCTGTTAATAATTTCATGGAACAAACCTTTTCATTAGTGAGAGGTTCTTAAAAACACCACATTTTCATACACCACTACCACTTTAATTTGAATGTGTACTGAATTAAAAATGATGTCTGTGTACATAGTATACATGACTGAAGTTGTAACAAAATGACATAGACTTGATAAAGAAAAAAAATTGTATTGTATTAACATACAAGAGGAGATGATGTGTCAATAATTAATGACTCCATTGGTTTCAAATGAAGCCAAATATCCTGCATAGTTAATAGCTGCCACCCTCATGCTGTATCTTGCTCCATTCATAAGAGACAGTCCATTCCATGTATAAGAAGAAAATGTACCCCCAGTCAAGTTCATCCACTTATTTTTCTGAACTGTAATTAAAAACCACAAGTCTCTGATAAGAATGTAGCTCTACTGAATTGTACTGATAATAGTTGAAAAGTTGCACTTGGACTTCAAACACTTAATAAGGCTTATTACAGAATGTACATTATGTTTTCTAAATTTGTGCAGTAAGTTTAACTGACATTTATAGACAAAGTCCAATGACATTATGATATTGAGGGAAATAAAATAAAAACAGAATAACATTGCTTTCCTAAAGAAGATGTCAACTTATAATCTGCAAACACAGCAGAACAAAGTCCAGAAAACAGTGAATAAATAGAGAATTTCAAGATAAGGCCATAATAAATAAATTCCTAGATTCTCATCCCCGCCCACCCCAATTTTTACCCCCGCCTCAATTTTTTTTTATTTCTGTTTTTCTTCATCTTGATTCTGATCGGAATCGGTATTCAACTACCATTCAACTTTCATTTTAAATCCCGCGAAAGTCGGTATGATTTTGAAAGCTGACAAGATCATGAAGATGGTAATTGCTGTAATATATATGTCTTAAACAAGGATCATTGGTTGTGAAAGATTTATGATGATGTGTATTAAGAGATACGCATATTTAAATGGACCTCTACTGTGACTTTTATTCGAGCATTATGGATAAATCTGCACTGATTGATCTGGTCAACAAAAAATCTGCACAATAGAAAAAATAAAAAATCCACTGGCCTGCCTTGATTTTTTAAAAAAAAATTGAATAAGAATCCAGGATTTTTTTTTTATTATGGCCTAATTAATTGAATTCAAATTGTTGCCCACATTAGCCCTGAGGGCCATGGATTTTATACTTGGTTCCACACTTCATTTTTAAAATTTTCTATATATTCCAATGTAAAACTGAAAATCCCTGTTTTAGTCCCTCTTAGCCCCAGATACCATGATTTAAACAAATAGGAATCTGCACTAATCGAGATGTTTGCGAATTAATATGAGTAGCTGTAGCCAAGCTCTTTTTTTTTTTTTCTACAAAAGGATTTTATTCAATTTTTCCCAATAATTTTCATGTATTAATTCAATCCCCTTGTGACATGATTTGAAAGAGACAACCCCCCCCCCCCCCCCCCCAAAAAAAAGATGTGTTTGTGAAAAACTGATGCCCTCGTATGGCAGCTTATGGTGAAGGTTAAAGTTTCTCAAATGCAAGTCAAACCAAGGTTCTTCAAGGTCAAAAGATCAAAAATACTGGTACCCAAAGAATGGTCTTGACTCAAGGTATATATCTGTGAAATATGAAAGCCCTAGCACCAACTGTTCAAAAGTTATGGAGAAGATTTAAGTTTTTAGAAAGTAAGTCAAACGTCAAGGTAAAAGGGTCAAAATTGATGGTGCCCAAGGGAAGGACTTGTCACAAGAAATACACATGTGAAATATGAAAGCCCTAGCACCAAACCTTTTAAAGTTATGACCATGGTTAAAGAGTAGAGTTTCAAGAAAAGGTCAAACTCTAAGATCAAAGGGTCAAAGTTGCTTGGTATCCAAAGGAAGGCCTTGTCACAAGGAATACACATATAAAGTACGAAAGCTCTAGCACCAACTGTTCAAAAGTTATGGCCAAGATTAAAATTTTTCAAATGTAGCTCAAACTCCAAAGTCAAGATTAAAAGGTCAAAATTGTTGGTATCCCAAGGAAGGCCTTGTCACAAGGAATACACATGTGAAATATGAAAGCGATAGCTCCAACCAATCAAAAGTTATTGGCAAGGTTAAAGTTTTTGCGGACAGACAGATGGACAGACAGGGCAAAACTATATGCCCCCGAAATCTTCGATTACCGGGGCATAAAAACTAAAACTTCTTTTCCTTGCAACCTCAGGTAGTGCAGAGATGTATTGAAAGAGCGCATGGCTATTTGATCAAACTTGAATTTCCTTCATCCAAGGATGCTTTATGGCAAATTTGCATGAAATTGCTTCATTGATTCTGATGAAGAAGTCAAAAATATGAAAAATGAACAAACAACAGAAAAATTGGACAGACAACAGACAAATGTTGATCAGAATTTTAAAGCTCACTTGAGCCGAAGGCTGATAAGAGAAAAAAAACAATATTAACAAAATATTTCAGACTCCATATCAGTTTTCATACACACCTGGGTATTTTTGTTTCTTGGTACCATGTGAAACCTCATAGATCTGAATTTTGATATGATCAATACCAGATTCTTTGTCTGAATACATGAAACTGACTGAAAGCTGGTCTGTTGCAGACTGGAAATATTTACAAAAGATAGGAATTTTTCATATGACATCATAAAATGTGTAATATTTGACAACTGTTTTGTGGTAGCTATACTTGAACAATATACAGTTATATAATACTTTGAATCTTTATTTGACAGACCTATCTTTTACTACAGCCTCATAGTAACAGCACTTTATACTGTTACCATGAGGATTAGACATAGCACTTAGCTTTAGCACTTAGAGCATTCTGATCCATATTGATTTAGTTTAGATGATAATCTTTTTATGGCTATAATCCATCTTTAAGCTTATAAAAATACTCACTTGAAATTCCTGGTCTTCAGACTGGAGACCATCCCTTAGATAATGCAGATATGGAGGTGTTACGTCAACCACAAAACTGTTAGTGGTGTTGATAATAGAGTTGAGAGCTTTGTTGGTGGTGCGAAGAGAGGTCTGAATTCTATCCCCATGACTATGGTGGAACTTTAACCACTTCACACTGTTGGCTGTGCTGGGGAATGGGGCCCAATCTTGGATAGGCTCATACTCATAGGTCATATTTCTGACAAGTAAAAATGTTAAATCATTTCAAATAATTACAATTTTATAAAATAAAGATGTAGCTGTACAGTCAAAGTTTTCATGGTGATCACCTTTATCCAGCAGTCACCTGTCCTATATGGTCAATTTATTTCCGCCCAATGAGAAATTCTGTATAATGTAACTTTATTCAGCAGTCATTTCATGTGGATTAGTCATTTTTGAAGGTTTTGTTCTTGTTTGGACGGAAGGATAAAAAATACCGTATTAGAATCAACATAATTTATCTTGGATTCTTCAAATTTGGCTTGAACTCAAAACTTCTCAAAAACCATGCTTCTTTGGACTAATTAAAGCTCAAGAAAGACTAAAGCTTAAAAGAAACTAAGTGAGAACACTGATGAAACATATATTTGTTTAACATTCTATGAACACAGAAGCAATACAAATTGGATCATCTTTAATTTGCAAATTGTCTGCCAGAAATCCATCCGCAACTGTTAAATTCTGCGACTGGGAAAACATGATACATAAATACACAATAGAATAATAGGTTCGCAGAAATATATAGAAATATTTGCGAGCAAAAGAAGGTCACGAAACTTGCGGATGTTTCTTGCATGCGAATAAAAGTTGGTTAATGATATTTCATGTGAACTTACTTTGCTCTGTAAACTTTGACATCATAGTGACTGATGTTGGACTCTGGATCATAGTAATTTCTCCACTGAAGTTCCACTTTAGCCTGGCTTGTTGTAAACTGTAGGTCAGTAAAGTCATCAGCTGACCCATCCACCACCTCTCCAGCTACTGGCTCCGTCAAATCCACCAACACTATATAGAAAAACAAGAAATATTGATTTCCTTCATAAATATTTATCAAACTTCAAAATTAACTATGACTTGCAAAACCTACCCCCATCAGACACCATGGAAACATTGAGTTGTTTGTGAGCACCATTGAATGCATACACTTTAGAGAAATATTTCTTGTTGTGCTCCAAGTATTTGTCTTGTTCTAGCTCCACACAGGCAAAGTGAGCTTTGCTTGAAAAATGTGTCATATTAGCTACATCTGTTGTGTCTGGAGAGGATCCCACACTGATCATGTACATAGCTATACCTGACTGAGGGTCATAGAAGCCCTGCCAATTACTGCAAATCTAAAACACAAACAGTTAATTCAAGTTCATGTTGAGTAATCTCATGAAAAAATTATAATCAAAAACCAGTGGGTATTAATCTTTACTTAAATTACACTGAAAATATATCTGCTAACAATATCATGCAAAATTGAATATAAATAAAAAAAATATAATGCCTTCAACAAAGAGAAAATTGTGATGTACGGCCAAACATTAAATTTTTCTTCATGTGTCACTTTCTTTTATAGATAGTGCATACCTTGTCCGGATACATAATGTACTGCAAATCCTTTTTATATATCTCTCCATCATTCACCTTACCAGCAATGGGAGGAGACTGGTCTACTATGATGGGTGAATCAGAAACAGCTATGGTGCTTAAATCAACTGGAGAAAAAAAACAATTAAAACAATTACTTTTTGGGCCAAATCAATAGAATGCTATTCAGAATTTGAATTTTGTTCACTAGTTTGGAGAGTCCAGGATAAACTGCTTCATTTAAGTCAGAATATGCCTTCAACCACTAATCTCTGATGAGACAGTCACAACATTATCATTAAAATCTTAACATATATTTTCAACATAGCCCCATCCTGGGATCTGAAACTAGACGCAGACAGAATCTTTGCTAACAATATTGGTGAAGAGCTCAGAATTCACCGTCATCTCATGCATAAACTTTGTGTGCTCCTTGTCAAGAAATAGAGATAATTTTAATGATATATTAATACAAGTATTATATTCTAGACATGTAATATACACTGTACAAGGAGTGTGCGAAAATAATGCAACACATGGTTTTACCATACTAAATCAAGAAGCAATTGATTTCAATTTTTTACTGTCTTAAAGTTCTAATTTTACAAGATTTTTTAAATAACTGAAAATGGCATGCTTTTTCCTACTGTTTTCACAAAGAAATTCACTGTTATTTTTAAAGTGGTGAAACCTGGTTCTACTAAAAAGCTAAAAACTAAATTTTTCTCTTCAAAGAAGATGGAAATGGGGATGTATATCAAGAAACTGTGCTTTAATATAAATACAGTTGAACTTCGGTATCTCAAACATGGATATCTCGAATACCATGGATATGCATGTCGAAGTCATTTTGAAGTCCCAACTGCTTATTCCTTAAGTATTTTACCCTGGATATCTCGAATCCTCTGATATCTCGAAGTATTTTCTCGGTCCCTTCAAGTTCGAGATAACGAGGTTTGCCTGTATTGGTAATCAAGGATTACGACCTGCTCTAAAAACTAACTATCTACTGGTAATCATCCAGAAAATGAACATCAGATGCAGCATCCAAAGCAAGTGTGGAAGTGTGCTTCCCTAGCAGCAGCATCCATGCAAGTTTAGTCACCATAGGACTTAAGATACTTAAGAATGGACCTACTCCAAGAAAGATCTTTCATCTGTAAAATCTGCAATCATTTAGAAAATGTAGGTCAGATCCAGCATCCAAAGCATATCTGGAGGGTGTATCCTTAGATGCATCATACATGCAAAACTTGACAACATAGAGCTTATAATGTGTACAAGGAAATTGTTATCTCTTTTGTGCTTGTCATGTGGGCAAATTTAAAATGAGATGAATTCAAGGAAGACAGTTATCTCTTTTTCAAAACAATACTTGGGCGAATTTAAAATGGGGAAAAATCATTTGCAAGGGCAGACTTGATGAAATTTTGAAATCACTGTCAGACATTTGGTCTCACTGACAAAGTCAAATGTTCTGTTGGACCGGACGAAGTTTTGTCCGACCAGATACATGTACCTTATTTTAACGCTGAGAAAGGACAAGAGGCCCAAGGGCCTTAACGGTCACCTGAGTATGATACAACAATTTAAAGGATGCATAGAGTATAAAATGAACTGAAAGGTGAAACTTTGTTGCCAAAAAGCAAGAAAAATAGGGTGATCATGATCAACAAAATAATTGGTCTTAATATTCATTAACAGTTTATAAATTATGTTCTATAAATCTGATCCCCATTTATCACTATCACCATACAGTATATTAACAAATTATCAATGCTTCTGTACTATTTTAATTCTTTGTTGAAATTTCTTACATTGGCCTCTCTTGGTCCTTGATGAACATTTAATAAAACAAGTTATTTTTGTCTCATTTTTATTCATCTACTACTTACAAGTCTATCTGATCATTAAAACTATGAAAGTACTTTTTGTATTATACAATAAAAGTTTTTGCATAATTATCTTATTCTATTTACCTTTCAAGTACATTATTTACAGTGATAAATTATCAAAAGTAAATGGCAAAGGGGAATAACTCCTCTCAATTGAATACAAAATAATAGAGCCCTGGCCAGGACCAGAACGCTTGACCAAATGGTCCAGATGTTCAAAAATCTGGTAAAAATAATCTTCCTTATTAAAACTTTTACTCTTTTTGCCTCTGATATGCCCAGGTGCGGAGAAGATTTTTAAAGAAATAACACATTTTTACTACAGATTCACTATAATATCAATAGAGCCCCCCCCCCCCCCCCCCAACACCAGAGCTTCTGACCCTGGGACCATAAGTTTGCTCATCATAACTAATCACTTTGTTTATCTGCTTAACACCAAGGAGCAAACAGGATTATTTAATAGAATTAATGCATTTTTACTATACCGTAAATCTGGAAATTTTTGCTGTAGATAAATTTTTAGCAAATTTGCGCGTGCATTGCATTTGCAAAAATATATTTCTTAAAAATAAATCGACAACAAAAAATGAAAAAATTTTTTGGGGGGGGGGGGGGGGGGGCTATTTTTCAAGATGAACAGGTGTTCGTAAGCAGTGGTCATTTTAAGAAATCTGTTTATACTATAAGCTAATTACCCGTGATAATCCGTGCGTAAGACTGCCTTCACTACATTCAACATCGTCCGATGGTTTGACAGGCAGTATATCTCTTTCAAATTATTTCTGTAAGAGAGGCCAGTTGTTTTATCTAAGAACAAATGTTTTTATCTGAAAGTTAGTTAAAGCAGAGATGGTTTCATACTATATTTTTTTTGTACATGCGCAATTAATTAAAATGTTATGAAAACTTTAAATAGTTTAGATGTTTTATCTCTTAAATTCTAATTTGTTTATGTGATTATTGAACATTGGCATTGTTTAGTATTGTATGTACATGTGATGAAATTTATTGTAAGTACATGCGTATTTTATAAACGTTGGCATCGTTCAATATTGCATGTACATGCGTAATTTATTGTATGTACTACATGTGTAACTTATAAACTGCTATGAAAATTTTAAGCGCTTTTTTAATTTTAGCACCATGAATGTCAATTCGCAAAAATTTGAAACGTAAAAATTAATCAACAGCTTTTTGACCCAGATTCGCAAAAATAAATTGACGCAAAAATTTCCAGATTTACGGTATTATCAAGAGCCCCACCCTCACACCAGCACATCTGACCCAGGGGTCATGAAATTCACTACTCTGGAAGAAGCACTCTTGCTCATCGTAACTATACACTTAGCTTCATTGCTTTTTTAACCAGAAGCAGAAAGGAATATTTTCAAATAAATTTTGCTTTTTCACTTTATAATCAATAGAAGCCCCCCCCCCTCCCCCCAGAACCCTTAAATCTGGGGTCATAAAATTCACAATTTTGGAAGAGGCATCCTTGCCTATCATAACAACGTACTTAGTTTGTTTAAACAATACCCAGGGGCAGAGAAGAAGATTTTCAAAGAAATAATTCACCTTCACTACAGGATCTATATAGCCCCGCCCTAGCACCAGAACTCCTGTCCCCGGGGCCATGAATTTCACAATTTTGGAAGAGGCATCCTTGCTTATCAAAACTATGTATTTAATTTGTTTCAATAATACCCAGGAGCAGAGAAGTAGATTTTCAAAGAATTAAGGCATTTTCACTATATAATCAATAGAGCCCTGCCCTAACACCAGAATCCCTGCCCCTGGGGCCATGAAATTCATAATTTTGAAAGAGGCACTCTTGCTCATCCTAACTATGTACTTAGTTACTTTATTTAATAACCAGGAGCAGAGAAGAAGATTTTCAAAGAATTAATGCATTTTCACTATATAATCAATAGAGCCCCGCCCTAACACCAGAACCCCTGCCCCTGGGGCCATGAAATTCACAATTTTGGAAGAGGCACTCTTGCTCATCATAACTATGTACTTAGTTACTTTATTTAATACCAAGGAGTAGAGAAGAAGCCTTTCAATGAATTAATGCATTTTCACTATATAATCAATAGAGCCCCGCCCTAACACCAGAACCCCTGACCCTGGGGCCATGAAATTCACAATTTTGGAAGAGGCACTTTTGCTTATCATAACTATGTACTTAGTTACTGTAGTTAATACCCAGGAGCAGAGAAGAAGATTTTCAAAGAAGTAATGCATTTTCACTATATAATCAATAGAGCCCCGCCCTTACACCAGAACCCCTGCCCCTGGGGCCATGAAATTCACAATTTTGAAAGATGCACTCTTGCTCATCATAACTATGTACTTAGTTACTTTATTTAATACCCAGGAGCAGAGAAGAAGATTTTCAAAGAAATAATGCATTTTCACTATATAATCAATAGAGCCCCGCCCTAACACCAGAACCCTTGACCCTGGGGCCATGAATTTCAAAATTTTGGAAGAGGCACTCTTACTCATCATAACTATATACTTAGTTAGTTTATTTAATACCCAGGAGCAGAGAAGAAGATTTTCAAAGAAATAATGCACTTTCACTATATAATCTATATAACCCCTCCCTAGCACCAGAACCCCTGACCCTGGGGCCATGAATTTCACAATTTTGGTAGAGGGGTCAATGCTTATTACAATCATGCCAACAGTTTGACTGCTTGATGTCCAGGAGTAAAGAAGAAGATTTTTAAAGATTGCATTAATTTTGGTGGTTTTAGCCCCACCCCTCAGGCCCCAGGGGGGCAGGGATCATAAAATTCACAATTTTTGTTCCCCTTCACCCATAGATGCTATATGCCATATTTGGTTGAAATTGGTTGAGCGGTTTCAGAGAAGAAGCTAAAAATGTTCAAATGTTAACGCACATCGCACGACGCACGCCGACGGACAAAAACGGATAGCAATGGGTCACCTGAGTGACTCAGGTGACCTAAAAATAAATAAAAGCACCAAAATGCCCTTTAATATTTTCAACAGCCTTCAATCTCAAACGTTTCTTTTCTTAGGATAGAGAGTCTTTAATAAGAGACATAAATAACATTTTATGTCTTTCCTGTAACACTTTAAATTGACCATCGTCAATACGCCGCACACACGGCCATCTCTTCTGTGTTTGTGACCTTCAGTTGCGCATCCCGATCCCGACTTTTTTAAAATTTGCGTCACGCTCGATTTTTTCAAATGGTCTTTTGGACCCACGTTTTCTTAAAAGTTATGTCCAGACAAATTTTTACCAGCCTTGCCGACAGGACCCACGAATTTTGACAAGTCTGCAAGGGTGATGGGGGAAAATCATCCTGTATAACAGTAGTTAATTGAGAATTGACCTGCTCCAAAAACTTTAACTTGGTCACTCATCTGAGAAATGTAGATCAGATCCAGCATCCGAAAAAAGTCTGGTAGTGTGCATCCCTAAATATATCATCCATGCAAGTTTGGTCCAGGTAGGGCTTAGTATGGAGGTGTGCATTCCTAGAAACATCATCCATTCAAGTTTGGTCACAATAGAGCTAATAGTTACTTCAGAATGGACTTCCTCCAAAAACTTAAACTGGTTACTCATCTAGAAGATACAAATCAGATCCAGCATCTGAAGCATGTCTTGTAGTGTACATCCACTGATTCTGTTCATTCATCCAGAAAATATAGGTGAGATCCAGCATCCCAAGCAAGTTTTGTAGTGTACATCAGTAAATGTATCATCCATGCAAACTTAGTCCAGGTAGGGCTTATATTTATATATATTGTCTTAGGAATGGATGTGCTTCTAAAACTTTGACCGGAATGCCCATGCCAGCGGTATACCTGATCTCATCTGGACTTCTTCAAGGTGAGCTAAAAATTGACTAAAGACAGATATGAAGATATGGTTTTAATATACAGAAAAGCTATTACTTCACATAGTGCAGAGTCCATATATAGATTAAGAAATTCTAAAGTGAAGAGGGAGAAAGCAGTCAACCTACCGATCAAATTCTTTAAACACAGAAAAAAAATAATGCTGTTTTTACATCATCATATATATGATATATTGTACACTGTACTAACAATACAAATACATTATGGAATCATTTACATTGATCGAAAGTTTCTATCACACACTTTTTAGAAATTTTGTACAGTCAGACACATGAAGTTGACATCAGATTCATACAAAAATGAATCCCACTATATGACATGCCTGAACAAAAAGTGTGTTAAAATATCAAGCACCTGCCTTGAGAAAACTGAGACAGAAATTTGGTAGGACAGAGGCATGGATAAACAGGAAGTTGACATCAGATTCATACAAAAATGAATCTCAACACACGACATGCCAAAACAAAGAATGTGCTAAAATTTCAAGCATCTGCAAAGAGTAGTTGCTGAGAAATCTGTGACAAAAATTAGTTACAGACAGACAGACGGACAGTCAGACAGACACACAAACAGACAGATACACAAGGGTAAAACAGTATACCCTCTCTCCTTCAGAGTGGGGATATTATATAAATACTGCATGTAGTTGAGGGTAACATTGAAAATTTTCATCCCAAGAAAACCATTGTCAACCGAGGCGCAGCCGAGGTTAACAATGGTTTTTCAAGGGGTGAAAATTTTCAATGTTATCCTCGACTACATGCTGTATTTATTATATTATACTGAATGTTTTATACAAATACATGTCACACTCAATCGTGTGTGCATAAATTCTGCGCAGTCAATATTTTGTGGAATATCACTCGTGGTCAAGAAATGTCGACTGTTGCTATGCTGGAGGGTGTGGTTTCGTCACTCAGAGGGTAATAGTGTTTTTTTTACAAATGTTTCTCAACGAATCAGATTCAACTAATTTACATGAAAGTATAATATAATAAAATGTGGCATATGAGAGGAAGCTGTCATCCTGTTATCACCTTGAGAAGCTTGAACTCCAAAAAGGTATAACATAGTATTTTCTTTGACTCTAGAGGTCTAGTAATACAGGTACAAACACCCAAAAGAAGGACCATCAATGGTAGCTTTTATTATGCAAAAATTACAAAGTTAGGCAGGTTTTGTATAAGCGATGTCCAAATAACAATCTATTTGTTTTTTCTTGTACATGACAGATCTAGACAATGCTGCTACAAACAAGCATAGATATGACCAGGGATTTTTGATTGATTGATGATTGTTCTTTTACGTCCCATTTTAGAATTTTTCACTCATATAGAGATGTCACCATATACCTGTGAAGGGCTTCAAATTTTGACCTTTACTCCGCACTCAGGGCCATTGAGCAGCAAGGAATCTTTATCGTGCCAACGCCTGCTGTGACAGAGGGCCTCGGTTTTTAAAGTCTCATCCAAAGGACCCGCAACTTTCACTTCAAATGCTGAGCACATGGCAAAGGAACAGTTGCTACCTATTTTTTATCGACTTAGGTCAGTCGCGGCTGAGATTTGAACTCATGACCTTCCGAACAGGAGTGAGCACTCTACTGACTGAGCTACCATGACGGTGGGGATTTTTGAGAAGAGAAACAGATACAGTGCTTCACCAGATCTCAATCCCTGTGACTTTTTTTTTGGTTCTAGAAACTCAAAAAAAATCATTGCAGAAAGATGCTACAACTCCAGATCTGCTTAAATCACTCTGGGGCATGAAACCCTGATCCTGAAACAACGAGGCCCATGGGCCACTACACTCACCTGAGTAACTTTGGCCTTGTTGTTTTTTCACCTGATTTCCCATCTTGTAGTACTTATTGTGGCCCCGCCCTAACCCCTGGGGTCATGATTTGAACAATTTAGAATCTACACTACCCCAGGATGCTTCCACTTAAGTTTCAGCTTTTCTGGCCCAGTGGTTCTTCAGAAGATTTTTAAAGATTTTTTACAACATTTTCAATGTAAAACTTGGATTCCCTATTGTGGTCCCGCCCTACTCCCGGGGGTCATGATTTGAACAAATTAGAATCTACACTACCCCAGGATGCTTCCACAAAAGTTTCAGCTTTTCTGGCCCAGTGGTTCTTCAGAAGAAGATTTTTAAAGATTTTTTATTACATATTTCAATGTAAAACTTGGATTCCCTATTGTGGCCCTGCCCTACCCCCGGGGGTCATGATTTGAACAATTTAAAATTTACACTACCCCAGGATGCTTCCACATAAGTTTCAGCTTTTCTGGCCCAGTGGTTCTTGAGAAGAAGATTTTTTAATGACCCCACCATTTTTGTCTTTTCTTGATTATCTCCCCTTGGAAGGGGGCTTGGCCTTTCATTTTAACAATTTAAAATCCCCTTCACCCAAGGATGCTTTGTACTAAGTTTGGTTAAAATTGGTCCAGCGGTTCCTGAGAAGAAGTTGAAAATGTGAAAAGTTTACAGACGGACGACAAACAATGGGTGATCAGAAAAGCTCGAGCTTTCAGCTCAGGTGAGCTAAAAATACATTCAAAATCCTGGTAGAGGAAGAACTGTTCTTTATCACCAAACAGCTTGCTGCTAGAAACCCCCAGAATTAAGAAGGTTTTTAATTAAGGTTTTCAATCAATCAGGCTAAAGGTGGTTGGGCACCACTAAATTCATATTAAATGTTTTTTTTTTCTTTTCTTCCAAAGATGCTATGTATCCAAACTGGTTGAAAATGTTCAAAAGTTTAAAAGCTGATGATGACATACAGTATCTGATAGCACAGGTCAACTGAAGGACTTTTGTGAGCAGGAAAACAGTTCCTTACCTTTGTTGACAGCTTTGATTTTGATCCATACAGGAACCCCTTCTGTCAGTTTCTTTAACATGGTGATGTTAGGATTAAAATCTATGGTGGTCCACATCATTTCATCACAATCTCTTCTAGTTCTCCCCAGGCACAGATCATTCCGTTTTAGTCCAGAGTCCGGGTCTCTGATGAATTATTTGAGAAAAGAAATATCATAAGAAAGATATGGACTGGACACGAATTATGAACTTTTTCTTTCAGTGACCTTGAACTTGCCCAAATGATCTTGAGTCAAGGTCATGACACACCCTCAGGTCATGAACATTCTTTGTGTTAAGTAGTAGATTCTAATGTTCCTCCATAAGAAAGATATGGACCGGACATGTTTGCACAGACAGACAGACAGCTAGACAGATGGAAAAGGTGATTCCTGTATACCCCCCGTTTGTGGGAAGTATAATGAAAGCAAACAGGAATATACCACTGCAGTGCCTAAAAAGACTAAAAAATTTACAAAATATTTAGAAATTGAATAAAATACTTCTTTACTTACGAAGAATTATGCGTTACACTAAGATTGAATTGCTCTTCATCATAATAAATATTGTAGATTTCAAAAATCAAAGGTGGTGAGTTATCTACAATATATGGTGTTGAATGACAGAATGTTGTAGCTAGTGGCCCACCATATTTCACTTTGTTGATAGCTCTCACTGTTATGAAATAAGCTCCATCTAAAATTAAAAGAATCAATTTTATTTAACATCAAGGACATAACCATTCATTGACACAAGGACATACACAGTAACCTTTCATTTAAATGAGACACTAAATTGTGGCATCAAAAAACACTCAAAGGATTCAAGATGCATCAACTAACAATGTTTGATGATTCTCTTAGTAAGCTTCTTATTTATATTAAAATATTTAGATATGGCTGTGAAAGGAAAATCACGCTAAAAAGCACCAAAATCCGCATAGATTTCAAACAACTGGAGATTTTTAAATGCCTGTAGACACTCGAAATCCGGAAAAGTTGTACCATACCTATTTGAGTGTAGTCTATTTAAATAAGGGGGAGGAGACATTTAAATCATCTGGATGGTGGAGCACATTTGCCAAATGATACTTCCTGTGTTATTTTTCTATGAAAAAAAATCGAATGAAGCTGTATAATGCCTGTACCCACAGTGATCAAACTAAGAATTTTGCATGCTTGCATTTAAAATAATAAATTCTTCATCAATTTTAAAAGTGCAAAAGCCGGGCATTTAGGTGTACTAAGTGTGAAGTGTCTTACTGTATTACAGTTTAAGAACATATTAATTTGATTTTTTTTTTGTTATCAATGTTATTTTAAAGCTGAATTTATAAGTAACATTGATTTAAAAAGCTTTTGCGAATCATTTTATTAAGATTTGTAATAATTAACTTTAATTGTTGATTAATTATTTTTTCCTCATCTGTATTTTAAGAACCCAACTGTAAACAAGCTTTTAAGCTTTAATGGGGTATCCTGATATCAAATATATGTATATGCATGTAATTTTTTGTATTCATTTTTTAGTATTATAGATTTCAATACATGTACTGGTACCATTGTCTTTCATAAATATATTAAAAATGTTCGACACTTTTATGTATGATGACATCTTAAATGACACTAAACTCTCTTTACCCTCCCGTTGTTCCAAAAACTAAATACATACAAACATCTAATTGGCACATTGGCAAATGATATAAAACATGGCTATTTTTACAGTGAGCACCTTTGAGGAATGTTTACCTGGGAAAACTCACGTGACTACCGGTATTTTAAATAATATATTCCACAGGTGGGTTCAACATAGGTCATACAGGTAAATATCTCTCGCTTGCTATAGGAAAAACATTGAACTTTTTATTCATTTTTAATATTTTAAGTACCAGCCTAATCTTGTACAAAGAACAAGGTACAGTTTTAGCCAAAGTTTGCCCGGTGATTTTCCCAAAAATTGAGTATGTTTATTTAACTCTTTCTTTTTTGTTATTTAATAAAGTAACCCTCATAGACACCAAAACATATATATAAAAAAAGAACACTAGTACGCATGCGCAATACGCACTGTCAAAAAGATAATATCCTTGGCTCATTTGCCATTATTTGTACAAAAAATAGCCAGTAAAAGTCAAAATTCAATACCTCCACATTGATCGTCCAAGATTAAATTTTGACAGAATGAATTTGAAGTGTAAATTCATATTCAGTTTTAATTTCATCATGGGCAAGGACTGTGGACATGGTTAAATCTTAACAATTAGTTCGATCAATTTCTAATCGTAACGGTTGCCATGTCGGTAGTAGATGTTATAAAGTCTCGAATTATAATCTCAATACGGTGATTTCAAGATAGTTGAAAGCAGTACATCATTTAAGTGCTCAGTAAAGCTTATAATAGTGTCTTGGCAAACTGTATTCTTTTTTTTTTTTTTTTGAATAATGTTCTGTCTATTTTTTAATATTTTCATGTCTTTAGAATTTATGTTGTACTATTACGTCAGTTAGACTGAGTGCAATACGAATTTTTATTGAATGTGTTTAAGTACAAGTTAATTTTCAGTGTTTGTGCCGCCATACTGTCACGGCGAGTTTTTACTCCCGGTTGAATGTTCGTAATCCACGGTGTAAGTAGCTTGAAGTTTTTACACATTGTTTATTCTTCAGATTATGTTATCGCTTACCTATATCTCTAATGTCAGCTATGCTAATTATTGCAGTTCTGCATAATTTTAGATAATGTTTGTGCCATGTGCTTAAAGTATGGCGTGCTATTCATGTCATCATTTATAGTCGATAGTAATTAAGTCTGTATTTCTCTTAAAAATATATTTTATGAATGGAATTTGATACAGTTGATCAGAGTATAGTTAGTTTATGATTTACTAGAGATATTACTTGTCTGTGTAATTTGTTCACATTATGTGAATCCAGTTTTGAGAAATTTTTCTATGGAAAGCAGTACCTGTCATTACTTACTTTGGTTTTGTTTTATTGTAGCCTTTTACCAGACGCACGTTCACATGCGCACTTGCACATGCCAGTGAGGGTTAACTACCTGTCAAATAAAACTTTCTAAAGGAACTGAGAGACTTTTTATTGTGGCAGAATAAATAACATATAAATTATCTGGAATTTTCATCTCGTCGTTTGAATGACGTCATTTTCGTTACCATGGGTTAATGTAAACAGAAGTAGATGTACCAGGATTCTGGTTTACCGACATCAAGATCTTACGGGTGAGAAAAAATTATATATATATATCACTTCTATGTGTGAAAATTTTTATATGTGCAGTTATTAGTTCATGAATATGATCAACTATTTAACCGACGATTGTACGTCACACGGCGGATAAAGCCTTGTGAACAGATGAAAGCTAAGAGGGAGAAATGTTACGAACTGAATCTTGAAACTTAGATAATGATCTAATTTTTTACGTTAAAAATATTGTATGTTTTAGCAAAAATTATTAGGCTAGCCATTCTAATATTTACATCGTCTGCAAGTACCGGTGACAACAGCTATATAAGCTTTCGGGACCTTTGATGCCATGGCTAGATAGCCTAGTGTTATTTTTAATCTTTACAATACATACATGCATAATAAAAAAGAAAACTAGTACTTAGACGGCATATTTATTGAATATTGTCTGTTTCAAACTCAGCTTGTTACTTTATTTTGAGTTTGTATACATTTGTAGGTCTTAAATGACTTGTTCGCACATAGGTAGTGAATAGTCCGTATCGAATATTGTACAACCCGGTATGGTAGGGGAATAATAGTGTGGGTTCAAACCCATCACACGTTTTTTTTTTTTTTTTTTTTCTTACTATGTCATGTTACTATGTATTTGATGAAGAAAATACACATTTTTACACTATATATAACATATCTGAAAATAATCATACATGATCATTTTTTATTCAGAATGGACAGGAGACATTATTCGTGTGTTTTGTGTTGAGGAAGACCACCTCCACAAGAACGTCGTCCAGTACAGTCGGGATATATAAACATTCTGTCAAAAAAATTTGCAGTTGGTGCAACAGAATCAGACGTACTGTGCAAGAAGTGCCGTCATAAATGCCGAAACATTTCTCAAAAAAGGGAGGTTTGTACAATTCCTGTAAGTGATAAGGATGAGGCTAATGATCCATCTTTTACATCTCCCAAACGCACTAAATTGACAGAAATATCAAGTCCGCCATCTGTTGCATTACCTTTCTCATCTTCAACAAAAAGTCATGGATATTGTTTTGTGTGCAAAAAGCCAGGACCTAAACTTATTTCGCTTTCAAATCAAGCTCGCCTGCATGTACTTATCATAGGAGAAATCATAATTCCGTCAGGCGCAAGGTGTTGTACAGGTCACTTAATAAATGGAAAGCTTTCAGAGAAAGCTATAGAAAATATTAAAACCAGTGAGGGTGTAATGTTGAATAGAACCGCAGTATATAACATCATTCAAGACTTACGGGAAATAGCTTTCCGCAATTCCAGGCTCGATTTTGATGATGAGGGCAACATGGATGATGAGGACTACAAGATTCTAACTGGACTTACTCGTCGTGAATTCGAAGATGTTGTGTCAACGGTGACCAGTATCAACTCAACAAAAGTAAGAAGTAAGAGGACATGCATTGCCATTCTCCTGGTGAAACTGCATACAGCAATGTCAAACAAATTGCTGGGCATATTATTCAACATGACGAAGCATCAGGTTTTTATATAATTTTGTAACTATTGTTTTATGCAAAAGCAGTCATTATCTTATTTATAAACTAAATATGTTAAATAATATGTATATACATTAGAGAGTCGTTAGATATTTTGTGAAAAGGATCACTTCACATTTATTCTTTTATACAGATAAGACGAGCTATTAAATCAGGAAGAAAAGCACTGATGACAGATTTTGTACCACAAAATCTGGGTTTTCAGCACATCACGCGGGAGGCAGTGATTGAGAACCACACCCGCCAACTTGCTAGAGATCTTTTCACGAACAGTGCTATGGCAGATCCGGCAATATTAGTTCTAGATGGAACTTACGTGTATATCCAGAAAAGTTCTAACTTCGCCTTTGCCAGAAGGTCTTACTGCATGCACAAACAAACCCATGATGGTTGTAACTACTACAGGTTACATAATTTCCGTTCTTGGACCCTACCTAGCGGATTCAAAAAATAACGATGCTAGCATTCTAAAACACATGATTCTACACAACACTGAAGAACTGAAATCCTGGTTAAAAGAGGATGACGTGTTTGTTGTGGACAGGGGATTCAGGGACACTGGAGATGTGTTGGAAGATCTTGGTATCCAAATGGAAATGCCGTCATTCATACAGAGGGGAGATAAACAACTGTCAACCCATGATTCAAATATTTCTAGAGTGGTTACAAAGGTAGATGAATCAAATATTAATTATTACAGCAATAACATACCCCCCCCCCCCCCCCCCCAACCACCACCACTACCACCAAAAAAAATAAATAAATAAATAAAATGAAATAAAATACATGTAAAAAAAAAAAGATAAAAACATTTTTATAACAGAACTGAAATTTTATTATATGTACATCGGTTTAAACTGATGTTAGATGTTGTTGACGATCCCATCCCCCCCCCCCCCTATTTTTAACAAAAACGTGTATTCCTCTAGCACTGCTTCTTGTACCTGAAACCATATTTTATATCATGATTATATGTATATGCTTTTCATTCATAGGTAAGATGGGTTGTGGAAGCTGCTAATGCTCGACTGAAACAATGGAAATACCTGGAGAAGACCCTACCTAACACCCAGATACCATTCATCGGGGATTATATCAGAATTGTATCAGCCATGTGTAATAGGTATCGACCACCACTGTGCACTACCACATCCGATGATCAGTCAATTGCTTGCAAAAATGCTTCATCTCTCCCGAAAAGAAAATGCACTACAGAAACGTGTGGAGGAAGAGGGTTTGGACAAGAGGCCAGTTCGTTGGGTAAAGGTTGACGCCGAACAGTGTGCGCCAGATTTCCCAAAATATGATGAAAATGGTATAAGAGAGCTAACTTTGGGGGTATACCAACTTCGTATGGCTCGATCATATACACACGAACACACGGACATCGAAGGTAAATACGAGATTTTAGTAAGCGATGATATACAGGGAACATTATCCGCTAAAATCAAGAGTAGACATATATCGGCTAGAAATTATCAGTGCTGGATAAGTTATAATGATGATGTGATTGATGGTTGGTTTTGTAAGTGTAAGGTGGGGAGCAGAGTAGTCGGAATGTGTGGCCACATCACGAGTGTCGTGTGGTTTCTTGCGCACGCGAGACATGAAGTTGATTCTGTGAAAGGTGTCAGGAATTGGAGCACCTCTGTTAATGATGCATCAGATCTACCCGAAATTATCGATGAATCAGACAGTGATGTAGACAGTGATGTTGAGGAGTGAAAGAACTCAATTGCTTTTAAAACGTTTTATTTGCTTCTCTCCAATGTCATTTAATATAATGTCATTCGGTATTAGTACGAGAGATGTGTCTGAACATGTAAATGTATGTTTACAAGTTATGCTGAACAATTTCTTATTTATTTTATAGTAATTTTTACTATTATGTTTACAAATATTACGATTATATTCATAATGATTAGCGAAATAATTAACACAGGTGCAAATATTTGATGATTTCCATAAAAGTGCAGAAACTTCCTTTATTTCTCTTAAAATACACATTTTTTCCACAACGAGAGATGTGTCTTAAATCCTAAAATAATTCGATGTTGCCCAGATGCATAACTTTTAAATTCTTCATCTCGAAATAGAATTTTAGGAAAGTGAAATTTCCTTACTTAGAATCAGCTACAGTAGGTCTCTCGTTTACGTTTTGTTGCTGACTTTCTACTATTTTTATTGTAATTACTGTTATCTCTGAAAATACAATTAAGTCGCAGAGGATCCTGTGATTTTGCAGTATTTGTTCCTTAAAACAGAAGAAACAAAGAAAGGGTGATTGTTAAATCAATCACCAAACATACAAAAAGGGTATTTCATTTCAGGAAGGGGGTGAAATCAAAGACAAGGGGCCTTATGAAAGAACTAACGACTAAGACCAAAATTTAATTCTGCTTCTAACTTTTTAACTTACATTATATTAAAAATGGTTTTAATCTTTTTGAAAGGAATGTAGTAAAATATTTTTACGCTAGCAATTTTAAACAAAATTATTTATTTTGCAAAATTTTACACCCAATTTAAGTTTTCGGTCTTAGTCGTAAGTTCTTTTGTAAAACGGGCCCAAGGAGGGACAGAAATAACATCAAACACCATTTCGCAGGTATCGGAGAAATGTCAAACAATTTCCCTCTTTCACTTAAAGGAGGAAGCCCTGCCCCCCTTTTTTTATCAGTCATAGAAAGTTAAGAAATGGGAATATTTCTTGTTGGTTTAGGTGGGAAGGTAAAAACCCTTATTTTGATTTTAATTTTGTGTGTGATAGTATGGGGGGGGGGGGGGGTATAGTAATTCAGAATACAAATAACGAGGTCTTGACCTACGGAATTTGTAGTATACTAGGGATCTTCGGGAATTTTTGAGAGATTATTTATATTATCCTCTCTATAATGAAAGTATTTTGGTGAAAATTGGCATTTTTTCTAAACATACATAAAAAATAAGAGCAAGAAATATTTCAGAAATATTTTATCTTTTTTCTTTTCTGTGGTATATGAATGAGTCAATGGTGGGGGTACCCAGCGCAGTCATGAAATCAGATAATGAAAATAGGTAACTACTACGTACGTAGTTCTGTGGACCAGAATGGGATTTTTTTTTTAAATTATGCAATTTTTCAATTTTATTTTGACTCTATTTTATGCAATTTTGATAGAATTTAGACAAGAAATACAACCAATCATAATTAATATTTACTACATGTAAATAGAAATCTGAAAACGACAGCAAAATGGATTATGACGTCAACGCGGAGGAGAGAGTATACAAAAATGTATGTAGCCATGTGGAGAACTATTGTCTAGACTAAACTACCTGCTAAAACAATAATGATGCGCAGAAACATTTCATTTTTTCATTTGTATATTTTTTCCTCACAGATTATTCAATTAGAGTGAAACCAAAGGTGCTAGATGACCATCAATTATTAGGGACTAAATAATGTTGACCAGCGGTGCAAAAGTCGGTACTGCACAATAGGCAAAGTGTACATGACATTTCATGTAATTTTCAATTGTGGCAACAACACACATTTTATTTTTCAAAGAATTGACTAAGAAAAGAGAGAGTTTGTTTTCTACAAAGTTATACATTTATAAGTAATAACAGAAAAAGAATTAACGCTTTCCAATCGTTTCAACACGAGAAAATAATCTAAGGCTGACGTGACGTTAAAATGACGTAGCCATGCTGCCCCAGTTCAGTGGACATATTCAAGTTTATAATATCATCGGAACTTATCTAATAATCATATGAACTAGAAATTTGCACATTTGTTTCATTTCTTCTTGATAAAGAATTTTCATGAAATGATCTCTTTCTTTTATGGAGAAAAAGTAAATTCTCAATTATATCCCAGCAACCCTCGTATTGTAATGTTTCATAACGTAAGTTAATGTCTTTATAAAATGGGCGAACGTCAAGACAGCAGGTGTGCATTTTTAAAGGAGTATATTTCAGGCGCTTCAAAAGATATCAGATAAAAATTACTTGTTTCATAAAATTAACATATTCTAATATTTTATATAGTATTTTGGTTGATTTCCTGAACAGGGCAAATTTTGGCAAAAACTGTACCTTGTTCTTTCCTACTTTCACAAAAGTTACTTTTTAGTTGACACACTTCGAGAACCCAAAATGCACAGAGTTTGATGATTTTAAGCCAATTAGTATTTGAAATATTTAAACAGTCATAAAATTTCAAAAGTAGGTCAACGTGACCTCCTTTTTGGTCATATATACTCTGATGTATCAACTGACAAGGTTTGAGGATCCCAGGCTTCACAGTGTCCAAAATTGACCACTTAATTTGAAAATGAATACATGCAAAATTAAAAAAAAATAGGTCACTCTGACCTTCTTTTTGACAAATATGTTTTATGGTCCAAAGATACTTACAAGGTTTGATGATTCTAAACTCTCAGTATCTGAAATAATGACTTCTAAATGTTTTTAAATTGATTAGCTATAAAATTCAGAAAGATCATAGGCTTCAAAGTGTCCAAGATATGCATCAAAACCAAATTGAAAATGAATACCTGTAAAATCAAAAAAGAACATCACCATGACCTACTTTTGAGTCAACAACGAGGTCCTAAGATGCATCAGCTGACAAGATTTGATAATCCTAGTCCTTATAGTGAGCAAAATATTGCCCACTTCATGTCACCAAAATGTGTCATCATATCTTGTTTCGGTAGATATTTTTGTCTTTAACTGTGCTATTTCAATGTTCAAGCATTCCACTATAATCTGACTATTCATTTTCAAACATGAAAAATGCTACAAAATTTGGAAATGTCAAAGCAGAAATTACGAAACTGATGCCAAAACAACACCTAGAGGGTTAGTTTCAAGTTCCGAGTGTTAGTCAATTAAGGGACAAGCCAGAAGTCTATGAAAAAGTTTGGGAAAATTTCAATAAAGAAGTCGAAATTGGTTCATAGGAATTTGATTTTGCTGCAGGTTTTTGAGGTAAGTAATTAAGTAAAGGTATTGGTCAATATTCTTTTTAAAGGACCATAATTTATTACTGATGTCAAATAACATCAAAAAAACTTGCTAAAACATTATAAAGAATGCACAGCTGCCCTCCCCCTTCTGTATAAACATATATTTTCAATGAAATGTAAATTCGGAGGGGGGTCTTTTCCACAAGCACCTGTGACTTTAATATCATATTAGCTGCAGAATAGCTAAAAACCTGGCAGAATGGTATAAGGAGCTTCCAATGGAGTCATCATCACACTGTTTGTCCACTGTGATTCATCAAACAGATGAGCGTGGGGGTCATGATGGGCCTTGATTTTCTCTTCACAAATTTTCTCTCCAGCTGTCACAGAGTAACCAAGCAATCCTGTCTCATTGTCATAGATACCATCCCAGTTAGCTGAAAAGAAGAAACAAAGGTAAGAAAGATTTATTATGATGTGTAGTTATCACAGATTACAGTAAAAGAATATCTATATATTCTCTAGAGATTTGAGAAACTTTAAATTAGACTTTGCTTTGTACCTTTCTCCATCATTTCTAAGTCAATTCATATAAAATCCTTTGTTCTTGTGAATATATGATGACACAGTTTTACTGGCAAAATTGTAAGTCAAATAAGACTGAACCTTAATTGCTAAAATCTCATGTCAAATGAGATTTCAGCAACATCCAATAGTTACACATTAATTACCATCAAAGAAGTTTCATTTTAAAACAGTAAAATAGAATTCACAACACTGCATAAATTCAACTGGTGATGGAAAAAGGCATGCAGTGAAGTCAATGTAAGAAGTCAAAAAATAGTACAATGTACAATGCAAGTGTTAAAAGGTTACATCGTATAGTTTTCAAGTTTTGCAAGAGTTTAATGACAGTTTTACCAGATATATATCGGTTGGCTCTGGTGAACTTTAAATCTGTCTTGAACTCATGTCCATTGTATACAGTGTCTGATCCCTCTCCATCTATGATGATGCGGTGGTTCTTTCTGGTGGGATCTACTCCCACACAGTGTCTCTCCCAGTCTTGTCTGTCATTAGGAATGAGGTCCAGACATGGTGAGACCTCTAATACGTCACTAGTGATGTTTATCTGGTCTGTTACAAGAAAAAAAGGATAAAACATCTATTTATATAAATGTATACATTTATCGTGACTCCAATAATGAAAAGGCAGTACTTACCACACAACAATTTTAGTCACTTTACAAGATCAAATATTTCATCCTGTCAAGGTAGTATTTCAAGAAAATGTGGTAGCTTATGTTGACTAGACAAGATGTTGTATCTCGATAAAATCAGTATCTCAACTTGATGAGATTGTTATCTTGGCTTGATGCGATTTCGTATGTTGACAAAAAATATCTCGATGGCATGAATATGCCACCATAGTTTTCTACACCTTAAATCAATTATGTAAAATGAAATATTTTATGTACCTTCAGTTGGATCTGGTGGTGTGAAATCTGTGAGGATTGATTCAGAAGATAAAATATTCTCAAATCCAAGAGAATTTTTAACATGAATATTGAAAAAGTACATTGTGTTATGGCTTAGGTCCAAATCATTGTATTCAAATTTTCTGTTTGAACCAACTCCTAATTTTTCATAGTGCATGTAATGTCCATCCTAAAATAATAAAATAAAACAAAGTTTATCTAAGATAACATTACCTTAACAAAAGTCACAAATTCTTACACAAAAGAACTCTCCAAAATGATGTATGTCATTTTCAATATTATAAGCTTTTAGAATAAGTTTACCCATATGAAAAATATATTTGAAGTAGCATTATGCATCCCTTGAGATTGCATTCATGGAAGTTTGTTAAAAATATAGGTGACTTGAGATAAACAGCCCAGCATACACAATTTTCTAAATGTGACCTTGAACTTTCCAAAATGAACTTGGATAAAGAAAATGACCAATCCTCTGGTCATAAGTAATATTTGATGGACATATTATGCATTAGAGAATTATTAACTGGACAGAGATTTTATATATTTTTTTGCAGAATGACTCTGGGTCAAGGTCAAGGCACATTTTCAGGACATAAGTAATATTTGTGTGAAGTACGAACTTTCAATTATACTCCATTAGAGAAATGTAGCAGACATGAATAATGATTTTCTGCCAGTGACCTTGAGCTTGCTGGAATGACCTTGGGTCAAGATCAATACCTACCCTCGGGTCATAAGTAATCTTTGTGATAAGTACACTGTTAATGTACATATTAATATAAACATAAAATGTTGAACACGATTGGCACACACTTGATCACAACATTCAAGAAAGTTTTCTGTTTGACTATCCTATAATCTATAATCATTGACAAATTTAACTTTCATACTTTACCAATTTATCCCCAAAAGGGTAAGTATTCATCAGTACACGTGAATGTGAAAGGCTAATTGGCTGATAAGTTTTATGGCCTTGCAGTCTATGTGCAGTGACACTTTTATAAACATCATGGTACATGGTTTGCATGTCAACCCCTTTAGCCATTTAAATGTCCAAGTAAAACTGCTAATTTGATCAAGCTTGTGAACACAAAGCCACTTCAAGATATGGATGATAAATTACAATAGAATGTTACAGGACAACATTCTGACTTTGAGATCAAAAGTCTTTTGAGTTTGTGAGTTTGAGAAATCACGAGTAAATTTGCCAATTAAGTTGTAAAGGAGAAAAAATTGGAACCTGAGACTTATTTTGAGAGATTGAATTCTCAATGAAAATGAAAAGGCTAAAACTTTAATTCTGCACATTAATGCCTCCTTGCAAAATATTCCAACTGAAAAGTTCAAGCGCCTGTGGCTGTCAAGAATGAAAATTTAAGAATACCTTTGATATCTTAAAATTATATCCTTCTATTGCCTCTAAGAGCTCGCAATGGCCACTGCCAAAGTCATAGTTGAAGCTAAGACATTTAGAGACATGCATCTTGTTACAGCGAGTGGCACATTCACCTGGAGTGGATAGACTGTCATATTCTTTAAATAGGATATGCCTTCCTACAAGTCTACCACTTCTCCCATCACTAAAAAGTGTCATAACTTTCAAGCTTAATGGATCATAACCTGAAAATTAAGAAATTATGTACATAACAAGATAAATTACCAAGAATATTAATGATTGAAAATTTATTCTTTTTAAAAGAAAAAATCATTCCCCTTACAAATTACACAAAACCACTAACCAACATCATAGTTGACAGTATTTGCTGCAATACTGGTATTATTCCATCTGACAATCTGCTCTCCCCAGATACCTCTGCCATACCCCACAGCCACTAAAACCTCAGTAATGGGGGAGTCCTCATACACGGTGACCAGTCCCTTCATCACATGGGAGTTACTAGTGGATCTGAAAGCTTCCGACATTCTCCCTCCAGGAATGGTCATGTCAAAAGTCTCTAACTTACAGGTGGCAGGTACACTCACACCAGCTTCATTGGCCACATGTACAGTGAAATACAGAGGAACTCCAAAAGGTTTGAGAATCTACAAGGTTTTGTATATAGTGATGAAAAAGGTAATTATAATGAAAAGTGACCAATCTCATAAATCCTATAAATGATACAATTCAAGAATATAGCAAAAACACAGACTCCTGGAAACACCAAAGTGGGATCAGGTGCTTAAAAGGAGTAAGCATCCCCAATCAACTGGTCACACCTGCTGTAAGCCCTCTGTAGTGATTAGGTAATGCTAACAAATTAGGTTTTATTGAAATCAGACCAACATTTTAGGTGGGTAGTGTTCTAAAAAAACTTTCACACATCGCACTACTTTCACTAACCACTGCAATATTTTCCATTATGAATTGAACAAATTTGAATCTACATTACTTGAGGATGCTTCCATTTAAATATGACCAATCATGGCTTTGCTGTTCTTGAAAAGAAGATTTTTAAAGATTTTTCCTATATATTCCTATGTAAAACTTTGATCGCCCATTGTGGCCCCACCCGACCCCTGGGGGTCATGATTTGAACAAACTTGAATCTACACTACCTGAGGATGCTACCATGTAAATATGACCAATCATGGCTGTGCTGTTCTTGAAAAGAAGATTTTTAAAGATTTTTCCTATATATTCCTATGTAAAACTTTGATCGCCCATTGTGGCCCCACCCAACCCCCGGGGGTCATGATTTGAACAAACTTGAATCTACACTACCTGAGAATGCTTCCATGTAAATATGACCAATCATGGCTGTGCTGTTCTTGAGAAGAAGATTTTTTAATGATGCCATTAATTTTTCACAAATTCATAATTATCTCCCCTTGGAAGAAGGCGTGGCCCTTCATTTGAACAAACTTGAATCCCCTTTACCCAAAGATACTTTGTGGCAAGTTTGGTTGAAATTGACCCAGTGGTTCTGGAGAAGAAGTCGAAAATGTGAGAAGTTTACAGATGGACAGCTAGATGGACAGACAGACTACCGACAAAATGTGATCAGAAAAGCTCACTTGAGCCTTCGGCTCAGGTGAGCTAAAAATCAAAGCTAAACTTTCTAGGACTTGCATCTTTGAAAGAATTTCACTGAAATTTCTAATTCAGTAACCACTCCAAAATATTATTTGACATTCATCAAAATACTGGTAGAAAAACAAATAAATATGGTATATACAGTACAGTAACTATGAATTCCCAAATTTGTTATTATGAATTAAATTTACTTAAAAAAAATGACAATTTGTTCTATTCTAATTCAACAAATCTGTTATAACAATTTAATTCATTATAATAAATTCAAATAAGAGGCCCAACGGCCTTAATGGTCATATGAATATAATACAAACCTGAGTAAAGAAGGTTTTTGAAGAAATAATGCATTTTCACTATATAACAATAGAGACCCACCCTTACACCCCTGACCCACGGGCCAAGAAATTCATCATTTTGGAGGAGGCATCATTATAACTACAGTCAAACCTTGTTATCTCGAACTCAATGGGACTGAGAAAAAACTTTGAGATCTTTGTGGGTTCGAGATATTGAGGGTAAAATACTTAAAGAAAAAGGGCTCAGAACTTTCCAATCACCTCAAGATATCTGTGTTCGAGATACCTAAGTTCAACTGTATGTATTTAGTTTATCTGCTTAATACCCAGGTGCAGAGAAGTAAGATTTTCAAAGAATTAACATATCTTCAATATAAAATCAAAAGAGTCCCATCTTAAAACCAAAACCCCGATCCTGGGGCCACAAATTTCACAATTTTGAAATCACCCTTGTACATCATAACCATGCCCTTAGTTTGTTTCCTTTATACCAAGGAGCAGAGAGGAAGATTTCCAAAGAATGTATGCATTTTCACTATATGATCAACAGAGCCTCAACCTAACTCCAGAACCCCACTCCAAGGGGCCATGAATTTCATAATTTTGGTAAAGGGCTCAATGCTCATTACAGTCATGCCAACAGTTGAAATGCTTGATGTCCAGGAGTAAAGAAGATTTTTAAAGATTGCATTAATTTTTAAGGTTTTAGCCCCACTCTTCAGGACCCAAAGGGGGAGGGGGGGGGGGGCATGAAATTCATAATTTTCACAGATGATGACATACAAAAATAGATAGCATTAGGTCACCTGAGTAACTAAGGTGACCCTAAAATTTTTTAGAACAAATTATATTGGATTTAACAAAATCAGTAATTTGATATATTGAATTCAAAACTATTTTTTGATAAGTTCTAAATGGGCTTCCGTACTTGTCTACCTCATTTCATTGAAATCAAATCGAAGGTAAAGTAGGAGCAGAATTTTGAAAACTCGATCATCTACAGACAATCAGACAAACAGTCGACAGACTCCTTACTATCACATGAGCACTTTTGGTCCCTTTTAAGAGAGCTGGAAATCATTAGTACATATCAAATATATCAAATACATTAGGGATGTCAGCTGGAAATCATTAGTACATATCAAATATATCAAATACATTAGGGATGTCAACTAGTACCCGGTTAACCGGGTACTCGATCGAATGTCCGAGTATCGAATACTAAAAATGGTACTCAGTTACTCGGATGTATATTTTTCATATTTCAAAGTATATATTTTTCATGTTTCAAAGTATATTTTTTTATCAAAAAATAACTTAAATATGCATACGGTAAATAACGTGTCATCATCTACACCTGTAAACACCCGTTATCACCCGTGGCTGTGTATATACAGTAATTAGTGACCAATCACCTGGTACACAGCTGTTCTCACCTATTGTTGTCCTTAATTTTTGAATGGCTTCAATGGTTGTTTTCACTGTACATCGTTTAAGTATGGTCTATTATCTTCGAATCATTTTTAAATTATTTAGTTTATATACGGCAGCGAAATTGGACATGCATAGAAATGCCGCTACCCACTTCAAAAGTAAAGAAATATTTAGAAATAACGAAAGATTAAAAAACCAGAAGTCTCTGATGAGACTGTAGCTCTACTGGTCTGTTTGTATAACAAAAGAAAAGTAGCACTTGGATTTGAAACATTGCAACATGCAACAATAAATAGAATTATGTATCTTAATGTAGTCTACTTTTGTGACAAGTTATATTGAAATCAAATGAAAACTAGGAGTAGTAGCGTTTTGAAAGTATTTCACAGAAATTTCTATTTTTAGTAACCATGACAACACCATTCACCCAAATAAAAAAAAACAGAAATACATATTATGTATCGTAGTGTATTCTAACTGTGTGCCAAATTAGATTGAAATCAGACCAAAATTGTAGGAGGAGTAGCGTTTTAAAGGAATTTCACAGAAATTTCTATTTTAAGTAACCATGGCAACACTGTTCATCGAATTCAAAAACCAATGCAATAAATTATGTATCTTAGTATAGTCTTCTTGTATGCCTAATTATATTAGAAGCAGACTAAAACTGTAGCAGGAGTAGTGTTTTAAAGGAATTTCACAGAAATTTCTATTTTTAGTAACCATGGCAACACCGTCCATTGAATTCAAAAACCGATGCAATAAATTATGCATCTTAGTGTAGTCTACTTGTGTGCCAAGTTATATTGAAATCGGACCAAAACTGTAGGAGGAGTAGCGTTTTAAAGAAATTTCACAGAAATTTCTATTTTTAGTAACCATGGCAACACCGTCCATCGAGACTTCCGGTTGACAAATGGTGGGGTGAGTGGTATTTTTGAGCTCCTGGGATATTTCCAGTTGTATTTGCTCTTTCACACGTTTGTCTGGCCTATATGTGCACTGTCCAATTATCAAATGTATTTATGTTAGAAATTTAGAGTGATAAGCAGGAAGCAAAACTCTGGTGCTAAATATATTATCCTAATAATTTGACTACTACCCATCACGCACGATCTCAATGGCGGACAAGGAGTTCACCTTTAGCGACCCTAAAATGGAAGTGGACAAAAGCCCATCTAGTAATCATAATCACGCTTCCCTGGATGAATTAAAAAAACGATTTGAAGGAAAAGATCTTGCGGAATGCTTCGCTATCATGTCCATGGACATAAAGGGTGTTCGAGGAGAAATCCAGGATGTAAAGCGATGAGTCAGTGATCTGGAAACTGCATGTGAAAATCTAATTCAGGACATTTCAGACATTCATCAAACATCTTTTCCTGAGGTGAAAGAGGCACTTAAAGGTGAGCGAATCGAGCCACTTAAACTTGAAATATGGGGCAGAAAATGGAATCTGGTCTTTCGCGGTATTGATGGGTCAAATGACGAGCGGCCGAGAGAAACGGAAAAGAAGGTGAGACAATTTTTGAACACAGTTTTAAAGTTTGAGGAGCCGTTTGCTAATGGAGTGCTTTTTCAAGCTGTCCATCGCTTGCCGGGTGGGCCAGAAGGAAAAAGAAACATAATCGTAAGATTTAACAGCCTTATTGAACGTGAGGAGGTACTTGAAGGGGCTAAAAAATTAAAGAGTGGATCAGGATATGGAGTATCGCCGGACCTCCCCCGTGAAATAAGCGACCTAAGGGCAAAACTCTTAAAGGAAAGCTTCGCAATGCCGCCAGAGGTTAGAAGTAGGACAAAACTTATATATATCAAAGAATTCCCCTTTGTGATGCTAAAAAAATAGATCGTCCGGTTCAGTGACTCCGATACCCATGTTTACCAGATGTGTATGCACTCAGTTACGTGGAGAAATCTGACCTACATTTTCATTGATAAATATCACTGCTATTTTTAAGAATGACGATGGAGTTGTAATCACCAATGAAAACAGTTAACTTATCTATGAGTTAAACATTATATGTTCATATTATCGTTTTGTTAAGTATAAGAGTGTGAAATATGTAAATTTAACGTATGTTTTTTTTTAATATCCTAGGGCTTCAAAAAGCGGAAGTTTCTTTTTGGATGGGAGGGTGTTTATATCAGAATGCGGGAGGGTTTTACACTATGAAAACTGTCTACATGTATATACAAACAACCATCAAACTGACTTCAGAAATAACTAACAATCTCTTCATCTTCTTCTTGTTATTATATGAATGATTTAATTATTG